TGCAACATTCACATTTGCCTCAAGCAGACAAGAGTTCTTTCTCCAACCCTGGACATTCAAGATATATAAACCTCACTTGCCTCCTTTCCAACAGACCCCTCAACCACTGGGGATGCCTGCCATAGATGTGGATGAAATGTCAGGAGAGAATGCTTCTGGAATATGGCCATACAGCTCGGAAAACTCACAGCAACCCAGAACTATGGTATAGATGGCCCTCTGTATTCACGAATTCTGCATCCATGGATTCAACCATCCATGGCTTGAAAATACCGCCCCTCAAAATCCTAAAAACAAACCCTGATTTTGCTATTTTATGTAAAAGATAACATTGTGTGCAATGAGACATAAACATCCATGGGGATACTGGAGTCAAACCCCATTGACTACAAAGCACCTGTTGTATAGGGAATGTTTTTAGTGTTGCACAGCTACATGTACTCAAAGGGAAGAAAGAATCAAATAGAGGTGCAAATGGTTGGGACAAGACTCTGATCCAAATGTGAAGCCTAACTGCAATGATGCAGGCATCAGAGACAGGAGTCAGAGTAGACAAGCATCAGGCACAAGAAGGCAAAATCGGGTGGTATAAAGAGAAAGAAGTTCAGAGAAAAAGATTTCCAGCAAAATCTTCAGGGACACATTCCTCAACCCCCATGTGCCCAGTTCAACGACTGTCAGCCATGCAGCACTGTTCATGTAGGTGCTAAGCAACAAATATTAACCTATATGCTCCAGGATGACATGGTGGCTAAAATTTAGCTTCCATGTCAGTGAAGCAGTGGATCTGACCCAAGTTTGTGCCAAATGTTCAAGGAGCTGTCTTAAGTGCCGAGCCCTACTCTCAAAAGGTGTTTCGCGTCTTGAAAGGCTCCAATGGGTCTGGGTGTGGAATGAATCCAGCACTCAACTGATATGGCAGCCATCAGATGCCGTGGTCAAAATGACTGCCTTCATGGCAGACCTTCCAAAGGCTTCAAACAGATTTGTCTAAAATGAAAAATTGATCCCTCTCCTTTAACCAGGCCACTGGAGCCCCCGGTGGCGCAATGGGTTAAACCCTTGTGCCAGCAGGACTGAAAACTAACAGGTTGGAGATTTGAATCTGGGGAGAGCACGGATGAGCTCCCTCTGTCAGCTCCAGCACCCCATGCAGGGACATGAGAGAAGTCTCCCACAAGGATGGTAAAACATCAAAACATCCGGGTGTCCTCTGGGAAACGTTCTTGCAGACAGCCAGTTCTCTCACACCAGAAACAAGTTGCTCCTGACATACACACACAAAAAAAAAGAAAAAAAAGAAAAGAAAAGAAAAGAAAAAGAAAAATACAGGCCACTTTCATGTGATTTCTGGACAGAGGTATTAGCAGGTGAGCCTAGGCTAGAAAGGCTGGTGGATAGAAACAGGACCGGTTTCCTAGCAACCCAAGTCAAGAAGGCCTTTGAATTGCCACTAGAAAGTCAACCGCTACCCAAGAATTGACTGGCAAGACTAATAATATTCTGCACAACGCCAAGAAGATATGAGAGTTTTTTTTTTAAATGCCTTTTTTTAAAAGGCACTAAAACTGAAGCTCAAGAATGAGAGTGGGCCAGGAGAAGGGGCTTTGCATAAACAAGCCTCAGGTCTCAATTAATATGGGATAGATCAGTGGTTCTCAACCTGTGGGTCCCCATGAAGGAGACGTGGTTTTAAAAGGGAATTTTCAGGGATGTTCCCAATGTTCTGATTTACTGCCATATTGACCTGTTTCTGCAGTGAGACTTTGTTTACAGAAAATGCTGATAGTTTGAGAAAACGTTGCTGCTGAGAGGAAGCTACTATTCAGAGATTTAAAAGTATATCCGGACAAAACCAGCCAGTTGGTGGCTAGTTAGAACTCCCAAGTTTCCCAGTCGCTCTGGAGTTATGTTTGCAGCAGAATAACAGATAAGATTGACTCATTAAGACAGCCATGATCAGAGAACAATAGACTATAGTTGTGCTATAGTTGCACTATTGTTAGGGTCCCACGTGTGCTATCTTATCAGTCAAAATCATAAAGAACCAATGAGCAATTGTACAGCTAGCTTAGACCAATGAAATGATTTGTCTTTGGAAATCAATGAGAATTTGTATTCAATTTACTGTCAAAAATAATAAAAACTCTGCAGCCCAATTGGGGGTTGCAACAAACCGTTTGATTGTATTCCTATATGCATATCTGTCGATATTGCTATGGCCATGCAATAAAGCCTTTGTAGTAAGAACCAAACTTATGGCTTCCTCCTTGCATGGCTACATTGGGCCATTGAGGGAACTCCTAAGCTTGTGCATTTAGAGTGACCCTACATCGGTGCCCCTTCACCCAGATGTTTTGGCCGCCAACTCCCACCTTCACTATCAGCTGGTAAACTGGCTGGGATTTCTGGGAGTTGTAGGCCAAAACACCTGTAGACCCATAGGTTGCAAACCACTGGGATAGATGCACCTGAAGAAAGACCCAATGAAAACAGCGGGATTTACTCCCAGGGATGAAGTATATATCTACCTCAATACAAGTTATCCTCTAATATTGAAGAGTTAAGACAAGGAGTTTGCGCTGTGGACAGCACTGAGGCAATGCCCAATGTCTCAAAAGATGGGTACAACCACACTTAGCCCAGCCTTGAAAGAGAAGAGAGCGAAGGTGAGGAAAAGCCAGAAAACAAGGAAGAACTTGCCATATGCTATCAAGGAAGACCCACAATGTTTGGAGGTAAAAAATGGGCAGAAGAAACACCAGCAAGTTTTACCAACTCGCTGCTGCTGCTAGTTTTGCCTGGAGAACCCAGTTATATGAGCGAGTAGAGGTAGAGGACACTGGAAAGAATTTTGGCCAGAACATGGCTCACTTTTTTCTCAACCAAGCCAAATGAAGAAGGCAAGGTGTTCAAGTTGCAAATTCACTTGTTTTATTGGGCACCCTAATTTTATCTCCCCACGATAACCATGGCTGCCAATTGTGTATGTAAATTCCTTTGTACCCATCCAAACCTGGCGCTTTGAACAAGCTTTTTGTTGGAGTTCAACCTGTCTAATGAACAAGGTCCTCTGAATGTTGGTAGTGACAATGAGGTTCATGTGTCTAATAATGAGGTTGCTCTAGATGCAGGGAATGACAATGGGTTTCCTGTTCAACGTGACTTTTCTGATGGGAATGTTCCTGAAACGTTTGAGGATGATGGTTTGTTCCCTGGGCCTGAATTGCTATCAGAGAATTCACAAGGCTTTGAGCCTGAGAAACTCTTGGCACCTGGGCCAGCTGCAGAAATTAATGAGCCAGTAGATAGGAGAAATGCTTTCAGTCAGCAAAGACAAACAAACCAGGCTCTCAGGTACTCTGCCAGATTGCGGGAGAGATTGATAATAAACTCAAGGCTGAAAAGAAATCCATTCCTGGCTGCTTGGGATAAAGGGGATAAAAGTGCCAAGTACAGAATCTGTAGCCAGACGAAGCAACGTTGGAATTGAGTCAAGGCTTTGTCTCAGGTCCCTGGAAGCCTTACCTTGGATAGATTCCTGTGTTAAGTGCCTTGTTCGATTCATGCTCAAGTTTTGGTGTTTTACCTTGGAAGTTCCAGTATTTATTTTCATGAACCCTGATGGACTATTTTCCTGGCCAATTTTTGTTCTATCTATCTTTCTACCTAATTGGATTTGACAATTTTTGTGGATTTACTGCTACTACTTTTAAATAGCTTCAATAAACTGCTTGCATTTTACTCATTTGTGTGGTGTTTAATGTCAGAGGGCTTCCTTGCCTGGAGTGCAACACCTTTGGAAATGCTGTGCAATAGACAAACACGGAATTGTGTAAGATTGAAACATGGATTGGCATAGACAATGCTACTGGAAAATGAGATTAATAGGAAGACATTGGTTATTATATGTTTTTAATGGTTTTTGTATGGATTTTATAATGTTGTTTTAAATGTTTTAATTGTATGCTGTGGACTGTTATGGCATCAAAGTGCTGCCAATTTGTGAGCCACCTTGAGTCACCTTAGGGATTGAGAAAGACAGGATAGAAATGTTGTAAATAAAAAATAAATAAATTGTTTTTAGAAATAAGACTTTCTGAGCAGATTCTCAAGGTGCACCTGATAGAAAGACTACAGCAGGCATGGGCAAACTCTGGCCCTCCCTCCAGGTGTTTTGGACTTCAACTCCCACCATTCCTAATAGCCTCAGGCCCTTTCCTTTCCCCCTCTTAGCCGCCAATACTCAGCAGTAGTTTTCCAGTACATCCCATCTCATTGTGATGGCACCATCATTCTTCAGTTATCACAGTACTGTACCTTTCAGATATACAGCACCGGTACCATGATAACCGAAAAAGGACAGTTCACAGTCTAGTTGTTTTAATTCTATTCCCAAATGAATATGCCACTTGGCAGGCAATGTGAAGGATCCCCAAAGCAAAGGCAACCACTTTTAAACCCAGAAACAACAAACCAAGTGCTAAGAAAGCAATAGTCAGATCTAATATCCACACCCATACGGGAAAAAGAAGGAATTTCCCTTCTGGCACAAAATGATTAAATAGAAAACACACGCACGGCAAAACTCAACGGTCCTTGACAGTTTCCCCTGAATGAACAGAGATCATATTAAAATGTGTGTTTTAGCATTAACAGTCAAAAAGGACCACTGCTCTATGCTGAAACTACTAGAAATGCAGGCCAAAGGGCTATAAAAACACTCTCTCCCTCAGTGTGTGTGTAATCTGTCACTGCAAGTTACATTTCTCTGTCCTTGTGGTGCAGCAATGAGTACAAAAAGCCATCGGCCTGCATGAAAACAGACACCATGTACTGTGTGGCATCACATGGATTAAAAAGTAGCTCTTCCTGCAGCAACAAGCTAAGTATTCAAAGCAAGAAGGAAAAAGAAATCATTCAATACAATTATCAAAACAGAACAGGACTGGGTAATTAAGATTTTAAAAGGGGGGGGCGGAAAGAGAGAGAGAACTTACGTATATGGTGACAGTGGTCCCAACAGGACTTTGGAAACATCCTGCTGTCCAAGGGTCATGAGGAGTAGGACGAGGGTTTGGTTTGTTGAATCCACACAGCCTCCCTACAAAGGCAAACACTTTAATAATTAAGCTTTGTACTAACCAGATAATATGGGCAGAAAGGGGAATACGGAAGGGGAGGGAAAAACATACTCTGCACTCCAAGAGTCAAAAGACAAAACATGAATGATTTTGTAACAAAATGGGAAACAAGTTTGAAATTATTAGCAGGATCTACCTATTAGTGTGTGTAAATAGTCTTCTAATTCCTGACTAAAATTAAACTGTTTGGGTGGGTCACCTTTCAGCTGCAGATTGTAACAACATCATCTCAAACTCTTAGAATGGAAGATCTTGTAATGGTGCCTCAAAGAGACAACCTGCCCTGGGGTACCATCTATGGATGTACTTGAAATAGCAACTACGGCCCCTTCCACACAACTGCTTTGAACTGGAACATATGGCAGTGTGAACTCAGATAACCCAGTTCAAAGCAGATATTGTGGGATTTTCTGCCTTCATATTCCGGGGTATATGGCTGTGTGGAAGAGCCCTTCCTATTGCCCTCTGAGGCTAATGGAGGGCAGTCTCATAGTGCAGAAAGAGCCTTGTGTCACTGCATCTGCTCAGACGGAAGACCCACTGAATTCAGCAGGGCTTACTCTCATTATACAGGCAGTCCCCAAGTTACAAACATCCTACTTACATAGAACTCCTAGTTACAAACGGGGGTGAGACAACAGGAAGTGACAGAAACCTACTCCTAGGAAGGGAAATTTACTCCTGGAAGAGTTATCATGGGGAAAAGGTGTCTCCGCTGAAGCTTTCTTACCAATCCTTGTTTCCTTGACAACCCAAATTTTTCAAAATCCAATTGTTACAAGGATAGAAAGTGAGGTGAAACCTTCTGAACAGGGGCGGAGACAGCAAAACAAACATTACAGGAGTGTTAACCCTTTCCTATGCTATCCAAAGCTTGCATATATAAAAGGTAAAGGTTTCCCCTGACATTAAGCAGAGTCATGTCCAACTCTGTGGGGTGGTGCTCATCTCCATTTCTAAGTTGAAGGGCCGGCGTTGTCCATAGATGCTTCCTGGGACATGTGGCCAACATGACTGAATGGAGCGCTGTTACCTACCCACAGAAGCAGTACCTATTCACATTGCATGTTTCCAAACTGCTAGGTTGGCAGAAGCTGGGGCTAACAGTAGGAGGTCACCCCACTCCCCAGATTCAAACCGCCAACATTTCAGTCAGCAAGTTCAGCAGCTCAGCAGTTTAACCCACAGCACCATCAGGCAGCCCTGCATATGTGTGTGTGTGTGCTTTTCATGTAATCCAGATTATCAAAGAGGATAATCCACATTTTCTTCTTTGAACTGGATTATAGGAGTGTACACTGCCATATAATCCAGTTCACAGCAGATAATCTGGATTTTATATGGCAGTGTAGAAGGGGCCCAAGTTAGCAACAATGGATTGTTCAAATAGGCACTGTATCACATGCTACAAGCCAGGCAGATGCCATCCTGTAATACCAGCCATTCTAACCTGTGATATGTATTTTATTGACCTCAGAAGCAATCGGACAAAGCATATAAAGAATGTGATTCTGGTTTTCCAATTCCATTCTGAGCCTTGCAGACCATTAGGCTGACATGGATAAGCCCCCTCCATTTCTCTGGCTTTCATTAGGATGCAATATAGACAGCATGGTCTCCAATGACTCAATTTATCCACTAATACATTTACTTCTGTGCCTACTGGCAACAGACACAAAGCAATATCTCAGCCCTCAACCTTCCGCTATGATCTCCTAATCAGGCAGGCCAGGCTTTTAAAATGATATACTTTTTCCAACTGTCTCAAACAAAAATCATATTTCTCACTAAGATTATTTCCTTTACTACACTGCACACAATTTAGCCTCACATTTGCTACCAATGGCAGAGGGAGAGTGTGTGACCCTTTAGTTGTCACTGGACTACACATTCCATCATCCCTTGCCACTAGTTTGGGTTGATGGGAGTTGCAACGCAACAATAGGAGAGCCACAATTTCACTTATCTATGGAATAAAGAGGACATGTTACGATACAATATAGATAAGAGAGGGGCAGGGACATACTGAAACACATGTGAGAAGTAGTGATGCTCTCTCTCTTATTTTTCTATAGCAAAGATGGATAGACATGGCCTATGACCTCCATAAGTCCGAGCCAGCATAGCCATCACTGTGGGAGATGCAATTTAAAAATACCCAGGGGCCATAACTGCATACTCTTGTTCTCAAAAGAGATGAAAACCAACATATTGTTCTATGATTCAAAGGAAAGTCTTAATCATAATTCATATTACAGTCAGCCCTCCACATATGCTGATTTTTGCATATTTATTCATTGATTTGATTAATATATCTCTGGGAATTTTTAGGTTCGCTAGTGTGACTCTATGATCAAATTCCACCAGAATTTGACTATCACATCACACCAGGGCACTTAGAAATTTGTAGAAAAGTCTGTTCTCGGGTTAATTTTTTTTATTTGCAGTTTTTACACTTTTATGAGGGTCCTGTGCTCCTAACCCTCATGAAAGTGGAGGACCTACTGCATAATAAATGTACTAAGTGCGTAACAAAACTCTTTATTTTGCTCTCCAACACACTAATATAGCTCTACATGCTTTGGAAATTAAACCAATCACCTACTCTGTAAATCTCTTCAAGGAGCAACTTTGCACAGTTTGAGCCAAGGTCTTCAGGGAGTACAACTGTGCCTTGTCCTTGGGGATTAGATGCCAATTCAGCACTGAAGAAAGTCCCATTTATTGTCTCTGCCACAAGAGAGAGACCAAAACCTGGAGATCTGAAAAAACAAAAGGATTGTGTGAGATGATTTTTCAAATTAAAGCTCCTCTATAACGTGTTGTCAAAGGTTTTCATGGCCTTAATCACTGAGTTGCTATGAATATGGCTGTATGGCCATATTCTGGAAGCATTCACTCCTGACGTTTCACCCACATCTATGGCAGGCATCCTCAGAGGTTGTGAGGTCTGTGGAAAACTAGACAATTGCAGTTTATATATCTGTGGAGTGTTCAGGGTGGGAGAAAGAACTCTTGTCTGTTTGAGGCAGGTGTGAATGCTGCAACTGGCCACCTATTTTTCATGTCAGGAGCGACTTGAGAAACTGCAATTCGCTTCTGGTGTAAGTGAATTGGCCGTCTGCAAGGACGTTGCCCAGGGGATGCCTGGATGTTTTACTACCCTTGTGGGAAGCTTCTCTCATGTCCCTGCATGTGGAGCTGGAGCTGACAGAGGGAGTTCATCTGGGCTCTCCCTGGATTCGAACCTCCGACCTCTTGGTTTTCAGTCCTGCTGGTACAAGGGTTTAACCCATTGCGCTACTGGGGACTCTACTGGTCACCTTTATTAGCATTGAATAGCCTTTCAGCTTCAATATCTGGCTGCTTACTGCCCAGGGGAATCCTTTGTTGGTGTTAGCTGGCCCTAATTGATTAATGTCTGGAATTTTGCTCTTTATTTACTGTCCTGATTTTAGAGTTTTTAATACTGGTGGCCAGATTTTGTTCATTTTCATGGTTTCCTCCTTCCTGTTGACAGTAAATAAAGAACACTACTCAGAAAACAGAGGAATTCCAGACATGAATTAATCAGGGTCATCCACCTCCGAACAAAAGATTTCCCCAGGCAGTATGCAGCCAGCCCTTAAAGCTGAAAGGCTATTCAATGCTCATCAAGGTGGCCAATAGTCCCTGGTAGTGCAATGGGGTAAACCCTTGTGCCTTGTACCAATAGTTTGAAAGTCCAAATCCAGGGAGAGCCCGGATGACCTCCCTCTTGCAGCTCCAGCTCCACATGTGGGGACATGAGAGAAGGAGGTCAATTGCAACATTCTCACCTGCTTCAAGCAGACAAGAGTTCTTTCTCCCACCCTGGACATTCCACAGATATATAAACTTCACTTGCCTAGTTTCCAACAGACCTCACAACCTCTGAGGATGCCTGCCATAGATGCAGGTGAAACGTCAGGAAAGATTGCTTCTGGAACATGGCCATACAACAAGTCCTCTATAACATTTTTCTCTTTATCTGTTACAATCTTCTTCACCTATACTTTCTTGTAAAATTAAAACTGGATAGAAAATAACTACCCCTGAACCTCTGCCCTCATCCTAATCAAATCAAATCAAATGATTTATTTTGGTCATTGACCAGCACAGAAAATAGTCACATTTTCATACAAGCTTGGTATGTTTGGTACATTAAAAATATAAATATAACGACTGAAGCACAATATGGGTGAGGGAGCAGAAGGGAAGGGGAAACAGGGTAAAAACATACAATGCCCAGATCCATCACCAAATTGTAGATTCTCATCCTAATCTAATCAGACCTAGCAAAAATAAAAAATGGTATCAAGGAACATAGGCAGTCATCATGTACCAAGATATCCATCTAGGTAACTTCAGTGAGTATTGATATGACTTGTTACGCCATCCCTAAACCTGTTATATCATGTACTTTTGGGAATTTTTGCAAACATAACACACACACCCCAACCAGAGATTCATTTCCAGTTTTGAACCCTGTCTTTCTTTAGAGAAGGAAAGCTTTTCTACGGGCTTCTGGGAGCCCTTCTAGACAGGCCCTATATCCCAGGATCTGATCCCAGGTTTTCTGTTTATCCCAGATTATCTGGTAGTGTGGACTTATATAATCCAGTTTAAAGCAGAAAACCTAAGATCAAATCCTGGGATATAGGGCCTGTCTGGAAGGGCCCTAGGACCAGTGATTCTCCTGCTGCTTTCTCCTCCCTGGTAGCTCAAGGGATGTGTCCTCATGTGGCCCAATATCATTGACTCTGTTACTGTCCCTCCAACGAGTCTTTCCCATCATTTCTTACCTGATTCTTCTGTAACAGGAAACCAGAAACCTCCTGTATGCGAAGCATGAACACTGAATGCAAAGCATGTGACCTGAGGTTCTGTCCCTGCCGTACACACTCCAACAAGTAACATGCAGAGTCAGAGGAATTAGGTAACAGATGATTGAAAGGCCTTTTCTCGATCCATCTCTAGTTCTGTACTGTCAATGGGGACTGGCAGTAGCTTCCCAGGCTTCCTGGTGATATTGGGTTATGAGTACATGCTGGGAAAGTGAGCTCAAAGCTCAGCAGTTTAACCTTTACAAAGCCACTGTTCCTGGATCTTCATGGATCTGCAGTCATTTGAAAAAGGAATCACTATATCTCCTTCATCAGAAGGTTTTCAACAGAGAGATACCCATCAGGGATGCTTCAACTATGTATTTCTGCACTAGCAGGAAGCTACGACTTATTTCCACCTCTGAGTCTATAACTTCCCATCATCTCTTCCCACTAGCTGGGGCTGATGGAAACTGGTGTCCAACATCTACACAACTCTAGTACCCCACTTGTCTTCCTGGGCTGTCATAAAGATTCTGAGAGTTAAATGTATCCAGAAATGATAGGAAACCTTGAAATCGTTATGCAAATAGAATAGCTGATACTACTACAAGTCGAGTATCCAAAATGTTTGGGACAAGTAGAGTTTTAGATTTCTGTTCTCCCCCCCCCCCCAAGATTTTGGAATACCCGTATTTGCATATACATAAATAATGAGATAATATTGGAAATGGAAACTAAGTCAAAACATGATCGGTAAATTTGAAAGCAGAACGATAAATTGAGGATATTATTGCTAGGATTTCTGATTTTACCACAAAGAACTGGGAGAACTCATTGACTCGAGTATAAGCTGAGGGTGGGAAATGCATCAGCTGCTGGTACATTTCAAAAATAAAAATAAAAATAGAAACCAATAAAATTACATTAATTGAGGCATCAGTAGGTTACATGTTTTTGAATATTTACATAAAACTGTAATTTAAGATAAGACGGTCCAACTCTGATTAAATCATTATTCTAATCTTCTTCAATGTAAATGTGCTTACATATCCTTCAAATAATAATAAAGAAAGCAAATTAATAAATGTAATGATAATAGAGTAAAATAATAAATATAATAATAATAGAGTAAAATAATACATGTAATGATAACAATAAATGAAGTAAAATAATAAATGTAATCATAATATAGTAAAATAATAAATGTATTATTAATAATAAATAGAATAAAATAATAAATGTACCATACATACTGGAATATAAGCTGACACAAATATAAGCCGAGGCGCCTAAATTTTCAACCTTAAAAAGTGCTGAAAAACTCAGCTTATAATCAAGGATATACAGTACCTTATGCATGTTGCTTGAAAGTAATCTTATGCAAAATATTTTACATAATTTTGTGTATGTACAAAGTTTGTGAATATTGAACAAAACAAAGGTGTCACTATCTCAGCCACCCATCTGGACAATTGTGGATTTTGGAGGATTTGGGATTTCTGGATAAAGGATGCTCAAGCTGTAGATGGTATTTTGGTAATGTTGACCTATTAGTTTCTTCTTCAATTAAACATTAAATATGCATCTTACCAAAACATTGTCTGAAAACTTACTTCCCAGAACTCGATCCTTTCATATGGTCAGTGTAAATGTAAATATCTGGCAGAAATTTATTCAGGATACTCCTTGCAGAATCCACAATTCGGTTTGCTATCTGAGGGGACACTCTGACCGAATAGCTGGTTTATGAAGTTAAGAAATTTAATATGACAACATTTAAATAAGACAAGAAGAAATACACTAAATATAATGTTTCTTATAGGTCTGTATATCAATATAGAACTTAAAAATACTTTATATTGAAAAAGAAACACAAGTCTTCTAGGAAACAATATTTAAATATCAAGTTACAGTTCTATAAAGAAGGGGAAATATTGGGGAAAGGAAGTCAAGACATAACTGACATTGCAACCCACAAATAATTTTCTTTTTTTAAAAAAAAAAAAAAATGAAGGCTGGAAAGAAGCCAGGAGTTTACCATTTACATGCCCACTCAATGATAAAACATTATAGGAAGAAAACCAGGAGCTAAAAGAAAAAGAGAAAAAGCCCATCACTCCTCTAAATGCTCAGAAATTAAGAACCAGTTGCGGTCAAGAGATTGTACCAGTCAATTCTGATTTTTATTTGTGGTTTATTTTATAAAGACCATGCCTCATTCAGAAGTAGATTTCCACCAACAAACACTGAAGGAAGGATACGCCACACCTCGAATACGCTTAATTTTCCCAGGGTCAATGTATTGAATAGGCTTTAATGCCTTCTTAATGGGACAACAGAATACCACTTCACCTCCTCCTTTGGGGGGCATACCCCTCCTTGTGATCTGAAAGCAATAAGAATTTAAACTAAGAAGTAGTTTTTGGTTTTATATCCAACTGAGTTATTGATTCCAGTAAGGTAAAGGAGCTAGAAAAATGGAGAGGAAGAAAGCTCACACAGAGCAACTTTTGTCACAGGACTAAATTATTAACTAGGAATCACAAAGGACAGAACACATAATATTGGACTATCCCTGTAGAATAGACTTAAGTAAAGGTAAAGGTTTTCCCTGACATTAAATCTAGTGGTGTCCAACTCCATTTCTAAACCGAAGAGCTGGCGTTGTCCATAGACACCTCCAAGGTCATGCAGCCAACATGACTGCACGGAGCACCATTACCTTCCTGCAGAAGCAGTGCCTACTGATCTACTCACATTTTGCATGTTTTTGAACTGCTAGGTAGGCAGAAGCTGGGCCTAACAGCAGGAGCTCACCCTGCTCCCTGGATTCAAACCGCCAACCTTTTGGTCAGCAAGTTCAACAGCTCAGCGTTTTAATCCACTGCACCATTGGGGGCCCATAAAGCCTTAATGTAGTGGTCCTCAACCTATGGGTCACCGGGTGTTTTGGCCTACAACTCCCAGAAATCCCAGCCAGTTTACCAGCTGTTAGGGTTTTTGAGAGTTGAAGGCCAAAACATCTGGAGACCCACAGGTTGAGAACCACTGTAAGGACAAAACAGGTTATACACCAGTGTGGACTAACATGTATGAAGGTCTTCAGTTCGTCACAACTGCAACTTAACAAGCCCATTCTCATGTATAAAATCTCTCACATATAATAATAATAATAATAATAATAATAATAATAATAATTTTGTGATATGAAATCCAGCATATATATCTCGTTTACTGTGTCATACTGCGTTTTTGTGTCAGTAAAATAATGATGATGATGATGATGATGATGATAATAATAATAATAATTTGATTGTGGCACTGCTTACTATAAGCAGGCAACTGTAGCTTTTCCCTTTAACCTTCTGTGTTGGAGAATATGCAATGGACACATAACTGAGCACAAATAACAGAACAGAAATTTAAACCTTGTTAAGGTCTTCTTACCTTCAGTTCCAATTCTTCACCATCAATTCCAAATCTTTTCAATATTGGCAGAGACGTTGCCTTAAGAACATCCACCTTTAAAAAACATGGGGAAGCCTCATTAGTATATACAAACAATTTCAAAAGTTTATTCTGTGAGCAGATTTTGAACCAGTAATTCTGATCCATCACATAAACAGTTCTATACGTGCCTTTTTTCAATCTAGTACCAGCTACATTAGGAGAGTACTGAACTCACCTTCCCCGCAGCTACAAGTAGGTATTGGCTGGCCATTTTTATAGGTAAGTAGCCCTCTCCTTATCGGGGGAGGGGGGGGGGACATTCCAAGTCCCACAGTGCTTGCCTGAAACTGTAGATATATACCATTTTGCTTCCTATGCATACAGAACTGCGGTCTATGTGACTAATTGGCAGGTAGTATATACAACATGGATAGACTGGACAAAGCGATGATTCACATCTTTGGTGGAATGACATGAGATTTCATCACACGATTCAGAATAGTGCATAATTTAAAATTTAGGGATGGTTTATTTCTGGATGTTTCCCTTTATTTTTGGATGACAGTGGACTGTGTGTAACTGAAACCGCTGAAAGCAAAACAATAATGATAATACTTTATTTGTATTCCGCCCTATCTCCCAGAGGGGATTCAGGATGGATTCCAGCATACATAAACACAAAGGCAAACATTCAATGCCTAGAAACAACATGACACAGATAACACAGATGAAGGTAAAGGCTTTGCCTTCTGACTCTGAGGGGTGGTGCTCATCTCCATTTCTAAGCCAAAGAGCCTGCATTGTCCGTAGACACCTCCTAGGTCATGTGGCCAGCATGACTGAATGGAGCGCCGTTTCCTTCCCACCAAGGTGGTACCTATTGATCGACTCACATTTGCATGTTTTCTGCTAGGTTGGCAGACGCTGGGGCTAACAGCAGGAGCTCACCCCGTCTTGTGGATTTGATCCGCCTACCTTCCACTTAGCGAGTTCAGCAGCTCAGCGGTTTAATCCACTGTGTCACCAGGGGGCCTTACTGGAAGGTATACAATGCAATAATATTTTGAGGGGAATTATGCATCACACAATAACACCTTTATCAAATGGCCTTAAACCAGTGGTTCTCAACCTGTGGGTCCCCAGGTGTTTTGGCCTAAAACTCCCAGAAATCCTTGCCAGTTTACAGCTGTTAGGATTTCTGGGAGTTGAAGGCTACAACTTCTGGGGACCCTCAGGTTGAGAACCACCGACTTAAACCATGTTTACATCAGGGGTGGGAACAGTGTGGTCTCTAAAGGTCTTAAGGTCTTCTAAGACCCTCAAGTGCAACCTTCACTCTCCTAAAAAATTTACAAAACACATACCCAAACAGAGAATGGTGGCCCTTTTCTAATTCTGTTGCTGCATTTTAGGCACTAAGTAGCAACAACAGGAGTAAAAGAACCAATTTGATAGCTGAAGCTTTGAAACTTACCGAAGGATCTACTTGATCATTGGTTATACCTCGGAGAACAATCCTTAATGAGTGTTTCATGAATGGTGCTAGGCAGAGAAGGCTTTCCAAATAATATCCAATACTGCGACTGAGGCTGCAATCATGTTCCAATGAACCTCCATAGAGGAGCCCAGGCTGGTAGTACAAAGAAGTTCCTTTAAAAAGAAAATTAAGTATTCCAACACTTTTTAAATGTTTTTTTGCACCTGTAGCATTAACAGAAATTAGGCCACACCTAGTTCTTGATGCCCAAAACATTCGTGTAATTCACTCAGTGAAACCATCATAGACTGAAAAATTCCATTTCAGACAACCACTTTCAAAACCTATTCCTTTCTGGAGGTTCTAGTAAATACACCTCAGCAAAGTATCCTTTTCAAGTTCTGCACTGGAGTGAGAGGCAAAGAGGACTGGAACTGAAATACAGAGGAATTTGGGATTTTAGCCCATCCACCTTCCAGACTATAATGAAAATCATTTTCCATAGGACCATCAAATTACTCTATGTTCTAGACCAGTGGTTCTCAAGGTGTGGGTTTCCAGATGTTTTGGCCTTCGACTCCCAGAAATCCTAACAGCTGTAAAATGGCTGGGATTTCTGGGAGTTGTAGGCCAAAACACCTGGGGACCCACAGGTTGAGAACCACTGTTCTGGAAACTGTGGAAGCTTCTGAAACTGTGGGTCCCAATGCTAAATGGGGTCCTTAGCTCAATGCTGGGAGCACACAAAAATGTAAATAAAGGTCTCTGAACACCTCATAGACAGTGACAAGAATCTGTTTTTACAGTGTTTACAGTGCACTCTGTGGAAAATATTTCAGCTGCCTTTCATAAAAAGAAAAATCTTGCAAATGTGGACTTATCTATTCAAATAAAAATGTAATGTTTGTTTGTGGGATTAACATAACTCAAAAACCACTGGACGAATTGACACCAAATTTGGACAAAATACACGTATCAGGCCAACGAGAGACCATCACTCATAAAACACTGAAAAACACAGCAGAAGAGACTTAAAAAGCCAAAAACCAAAAATTATGATTACAACGCATGCACAAAACCACATATATATATACACATGCAAAAACACACACATATATATACACAAATATATACACACACATATACACACAGAAAACACATATACCCAGACTGAGCCACAGAAACATGTGGCAGGGGACAGCTAGTTATCAATAAATTATTAACTTTTTTATCTATTTTATATACCTAATATGCCTGAGGTCATGTAAAAATGTCTCTGGTGGAAACGGATCGCGAGCAAAAAGTTTAAGAAACTCAGCTCTAAAAAGTAAGTTGGCTTATTCTCTTGGGTCCCATAAAGCACCAGGCACATGGACAACACTAGAGAGATTTACCTGTTTGGTTTATTTCAATCCGAGACCCATTGGTTATTTTGTCAATCAGTCTTATAAAATTTGCTTCAAAATCTGTCAGAGAAACATAACACATGTTAGATTTTCAACATCCAGTGCTTATTCCAAGAGGCTTTATTGAAATTTTCACGGAAATTAACAAAAGGAGCTATATGGCGATCAAATCACTCAGCTGGACTTGTGCAATTTGAGATTGGAGGTACTATGTATCCTATGTCCACTTGTCAAGCCAGGTGGAGACATTTTGCAAGCTGTAATCCAAACACTTATCTTTTCTGAGCTCTATGGGGAGAAGGGATTAATTCAAGAAAAGTATTAAAATGAAATTACTATTTAAGTGAGAGTAAAAAATGTTCTCCTGTGTCAGGTTGGAATACCATCCTCAAGAGAGATGGAGATGTGCACCATGTTCTATTTTTGTACTTCTAACAATTTTTGATCCCTGGGTGATGTCTGAATTTCTCACACCCGTTAGAATCTAATCGGTATGACAAAACCAAACAAGAACTTGGAAACAGAAATAACAGAGCAAAAAAAAATATTACGAACAGTATGGGTTTCTTTATTTTATTTTCTTCAAAAACCATAATCTTTTGAGAAGATTATATTCATTTATTATTCTTATAATAAACGTAAGAGCTTTTTTAACATTCAAAGACATAGATTTTTTTTTAAATCAAGTGTGGATTATCTAATCTAGGGATACAGAATCCATGGATGTGGAGGAGCAATTTATGCAGTTTAGCACAGAACTGCTGTCAGTCAGCCTAATGCTAAGCTTGATCTATTTATATTTTAATGTTTGTATGTTTTCATTTCAAAATTGTACACTGCCCAGTTTTTTTAACATTGTCAGCCACTTTGAGACTCTTTTAAGGCCCCATTTACACTGCCATATAAAATCCAGATTATCTGATTTGATAAGTAAAGGTTAAGGTTTCTCTTTGACATCAAGTCTAGTCGTGTCCGACTCTGAGGGGTGGTGCTCATTTCCATTTCTATGCTGAAGAGCTGGTGTTGTCCGTAGACACCTCCAAGGTCATGTGCCAGTATGACTGCATGGAGTCCCGTTACCTTCCCACCAGAGCAGTACCTATTGATCTACTCATATTTGCATGTTTTCTACTCTGGGTGGTGTGCCTCCACGACCCCCACAGCCTCCTGCAGGAGTACTTCAACAGCCTATCTGCTTGCTGCCAGCCATAGCAACACTTATTGAATGTATGCTTTTAAGTTGTTGTATTGTACTTATATTTTATTGTACTTATATTTAACTGTACTGTTTCATTGTACTTATATTTTAACTGTTTAAATTGATATATTGTATTTATTGTTGTATATGTAATGTGGCTTTGAATTTGCCATGGTCTGTAAGCCACCCTGAATCCCCATAGGGGTGAGAAGGGCGGGTTATAAATATAGTAGTAGTAGTAGTAGTAGTAATAATAATTCAAACCATTAGGTTGGCAGTAGCTGGGTCTAACACAGGGAGCTCACCCCACTAGGAGGATAATTCAAACCGCTAGGTTGGCAGAAGCTGGGTCTAACAGAGGGAGCTCATCTCACTCCCCGGAATCAAACCGCCAACTATTCGGTCAGCAAACTGAGTAGTTCAGTGGTTTAACCCACTGTGCCACCGGGGACTCCATCTGATTTGATAATCTGGATTATATGGCAGTGTAGATCCAGACTCAGATAGAAAAAGCTGGATATAAATAAATAATAGATCAAGCAGTGTGGTATAAAGCAAGGGCGGGAAATGGTGATATACTGTTCAACAACAATTTCCATGACCCCCCCCCCCCCCACTCCCAATCACTAATGGTAGTCAGGGCTGCAGGGAAGACCATGTATCCCATCTCTAAGATAAATTTTGATTGCTACTGTTTTCAAATTGACGCTGATTGATTCAGCACCAATTGTGTGGTAGGGGTCCGTTATGGGAGGAGGTCTGTGAGGTATGCCACCAGGGTTTCCATACCAGGTGACAAGAATCCTGGTGCTCCAGTGTGGTGGTATGGGTCCAATTTTCTGTTATTTTTAGCTCCAATACTATGGTGTGGTCCAATTTTCTAATATTTTGGCTTCAATATTGTGGCCTGGCTTTGATTTTCTGTTATTTTCCCTCCAATGTTGTGGTATGGATCCAATTTTCTGGCATTTTGGCCCCAATGTTGTGGTATGGATCCAATTTTCTGAAATTTTGGCTCCAGCATTGCAGTATAGGTCCATTTTTCTGGCATTTTGGCTCCACTATTGTGGCGTGGTTCCCATTTTCTGGTATTTTATCTCCGATAACATAGTAAGGGCCCAGTTTTCTGGTATTTTGGATCCAGCATTGTGATGTGGGTCCAGTTTTCTGAAATTTCATCCCAAATATTGAAATGTGGGTTCAATTTCCTAGCATTTTGGTTCCAACATTATGGTGTCGGGTCCAATTTATGCCATTCTGGCACCAATACTGAGCATGGGTTTGCTTTTCTGGTATTTTGACTCCAATATTCTGGTATAGGCCAACATTTCTGATATTATAAGACCAATATTATGGTATAGATCCAACTTCCTGGTATTTTGGCCCCAAAACTATGCTATGGGTCCAATTTTCTGATATTTTAGCCCTGAGAATTGTGATGTAGTTCCCGTAATCTGGGTTTTCAGCTCTAGTGTTTCAGCATGGGTCCCATTTCCTAGCATTTTACCTCCAATATTATGGTATAGGTACAATCCTTTAACATTTTAGCCCTAATATTGTGGTATAATGGTTGTCTGAAGGCAAAATGGTTGTCTGCTGAGACACTGGAAGTAGCCCAAGAAAGGAGGAAAGCAAAAGGAAACAGGGATAAGGGGAGATATGCCCAGTTAAATGCGCAATTCCAGAGGTTAGCCAGAAGAGATAAGGAACTATCTTTAAATAAGCAATGCATGGAAGTGGAAGAAGACAACAGAATAGGAAGGACAAGAGACCTCTTCCAGAAAATTAGAAACATTGGAGGTAAATTTCAGGCAAAAATTGGTATGATAAGAAACAAAGATGGCAGGGACCTAACAGAAGCTGAAGAGATCAAGAGAAGGTGGCGAGACTATAAAGAAGATCTGTATAGGAAGGATAATAATATTGAGGATAGTTTTGACGGTGTGGTGAATGAATTAGAACCAGACATCCTGAGGAGTGAGGTTGAATGGGCCTTAAGAAGCATTGCTAACAACAAGGCAGCAGGAGATGACGGGATCCCAGCTGAACTGTTTAAAATCTTAAAAGATGATGCTGTCAAGGTGATGCATGCCATATGCCAGCAAATATGGAAAACACAAGAATGGCCATCAGACTGGAAAAAATCAACTTATATCCCCATACCAAAAAAGGGAAATGAGAAAGACTGCTCAAACTTCCGTACAGTGGCCCTTATTTCTCATGCCAGTAAGGTAATGCTCAAGATCCTGCAAGGAAGACTCCAGCAATACATGGAGCGAGATGCCAGATGTTCAAGCTGGGTTTAGAAAAGGCAGAGGAACGAGAGACCAGATTGCCAATATCCGCTGGAGAAGGAGAAAGGGAGGGAGTTTCAGAAAAACATCTACTTCTGCTTCATTGACTATTCTAAAGCCTTTGACTGTGGATCATAATAAATTGTGGCAAGTTCTTGGTGGGATGGGATCCCAAGCCACCTTGTCTCTCTCCTGAGGAATCTGTAAGACCAAGTAGCAACAGTCAGAACTGACCACAGAACAGGAGACTGGGTCAAGATTGGGAAAGGAGTAGGGCAGGGCTGCATACTCTCACCCAACCTTTTTAACTTGTATGCAGAACACATCATGCGATGTGCGGGGCTTGATGAATGCAACTGGGTGAAAATTGCTGGAAGAAACATTAACAACCTCAGATATGCAGATGACACCACTCTGGTGGCCGAAAGCGAGGAGGAGCTGAGGAGCCTTTTAATCAAGGTGAAAGAAGAAAGCGCAAAAGCTGGGTTGCAGCTAAACATCAAAAAAACCAAGATTATGGCAACAAGAATGATTGACAACTGGAAAATAGAGGGAGAAAATGTGGAGGCCGTGACAGACTTTGTATTTCTAGGCGCAAAGATTACTGCAGATGCAGACTGTGCCAGGAAATCAGAAGACGCTTACTTCTTGGGAGGAGAGCAATGTCCAATCTCGATAAAATAGTAAAGAGTAGAGACATCAGAATGGCAACAAAGATCCGCCTAGTCAAAGCCATGGTATTCCCTGTAGTAACCTACGGATGCGAGAGCTGGACCTTAGGGAAGGCTGAGCGAAGGAAGATCGATGCTTTTGAACTGTGGTGTTGGAGGAAAGTTCTGAGAGTGCCTTGGACTGCGAGAAGATCCAACCAGTCCATCCTCCAGGAAATAAAGCCCGGCTGCTCACTGGAGGGAAGGATACTAGAGACAAAGTTGAAGTACTTTGGCCACATCATGAGGAGACAGGAAAGCCTAGAGAAGACAATTATGCTGGGGAAAATGGAAGGAAAAAGGAAGAGGGGCCGACAAAGGGCAAGATGGATGGATGGCATCCTTGAAGTGACTGGATTGACCTTGAAGGAGCTGGGGGTGGTGACGGCCGACAGGGAGCTCTGGCTTGGGCTGGTCCATGAGGTCACGAAGAGTCGGAGACGACTGAACGAATGAACAACATTGTGGTATAGGTCCCTAATATTGTGATATAGGTCCAATTTCCAGAGATTTTGGCTCTGAGACTATGCTACAAGTCCAATTTCTGGCATTCTGGCTATAATATTGTGGTATAAGTCCAATTTTCTAATATTTTAGCCCCAACATTGTGGTGTAGTTCCCATAATCTGATGTTTTAGCTCTAGTGTTTAGGTATGCATCCCATTTTCTAGTATTTTGGCTCTAATATTATGGTAAAGGCCTATTTTTAAGCATTTTAGCCCCACAAAATTGTAGTATATGTCTAATTTCCTGGCATTTTGGCCCCGGTACTATGCTGTGAGTCCAATTTCTGGGAATTGTGACTTTATTATTATGGCATGGGTCCAATTTTCTGATATTTGAACTCCAATATTGTGGTATGGGTCTAATTTTCTTGAACCTCCCCCCCCCCCCCCCCCCCCCCCCCCCCAATATTATGGTATAGGTCCAATTTTCTGGCACTCTGGCCCCAATATTGTAGTGTAGTTCAAATTATGAGAAATTGCAACTCCATTATTATGGTTGGGGTCCAAATTTCTGGCATTCTGGCCCCAATATTGTGGTGTAGTTCCAATTATGGGTAATTATTCCTCCATTATTATGGTATGGGTCCAATTTTCTGGCATTCTGGTCCCAATATTGTGGCGTAGTTCCAATTATCGGGAATTGCGACTCCATTATTATGGTATGGGACCAATTTTCTGGCATTCTGGCCCCAATATTGTGGTGTCGTTCCAATTATGGGAAATTGCAACTCCATTATTATGGAAGAGATCCAATTTTCTGGCCCCAATATTGTGGTGTAGTTCTAATTATGGGTAATTATTCCTCCATTATTATGGTATGGGACCAATTTTCAGGCATTCTGGCCCCAAAATTGTGGTGTAGTTCCAATTATGGGGCATTGTGACTCCATTATTATGGTATGGGTCCAATTTACTGGCATTTCAGCCCTGATATTATGGCATAGCTCCAATGTTCTGGCATTCTGGCCCCAATATTGTGGTGTAGTTCCCATTATGGGGAGCTGTGACTCCATTATTATGGTATGGGTCCAGTTTTCTGGCATTCTGGCCTGAATATTGTGGTGTAGATCCCATAACCTGATGTTTTAGCTGTAGTGTTTGGGTCTGGGTCCCATTTCCTGGTATTTTGGCTCCAATATTGTGGTATGGGAGGTGATTCATGGGAGGGTGACACAGGGGATCCTGGTGACGTCACTGCCGCTGGCTGCCTTGAATCCAAGGGAATGCAACCCACCCGCCAATCCTCATGCCTGCCTGCCTGCCTTCCTCCACCAACCTCCGCCCCGCCCAGAAGACGCACCTCGGAGCCCCGGGTTGTCCTCCTTGGCCCGGATCTTGCGGACCTTCACCGGCCGCCCGCTGAGCGTGGCCAGCACCAGCCGCTGCCGCAAAAAGTTGCTGCCAACATAGCCGAGCGAGTGAGATTGGCTCGCCATGTTGCCGGGGCTGCCGCGCGCCGCTGCAATCGCGGGGCCTCCCCCGCCCCTTCGCGAAAGCCCGGGCAGCCAATCAGCGCCCTGGATCCGCCGGAGGAGCGCGCTGATAGGTCCGCGAGGCAGAGCAGCCCCCGCCGCCTGGCGCTTGGGTATCGCAGCGACAGAGACAGCCGCGCGGCCCCCGCAGTGCCTGCCCCGCGCGCGCCCACGTGCTCCGAAAGAGGGCGGGAGGGAGGAAGAGGAAGTGGGCGGGGCCAAGCAGAGGGCGGTCCCTGCAGGGCAGGAAGGAGGGGCAGCTGAAGCCTGACAGCTGCTCATTCCCCTTCCTTTTAGGGTGTCTCTACACCAGGCTTGGACAAACGTGGGCCCTCCCTCCAGGTGTATTGGACTTCAACTCCCATCATTCCTAACAGCCTCAGGCCCTTTCCTTTTCTCCCTCAGCCGCCTGAGGGAGAAAAGGAAAGGGCCTGAGGCTGTTAGGAATGATGGGAGTTGAAGACCAAAACACCTGGAGGGAGGGCCCACGTTTGCCCAAGCCTGATCTACACTGTTTTACAAGTTCTTGAGTTTTTCCTGCCAAAGTGTGCTAGTGCCTCAGCAAACTACAACTCCCAGGATACCTTAGCATTGTGATGAATTCACCTTGTGGTCTCTATGAATCAGAGGCAACTTGAACACAATAGCAAAAACCGAACACAAAAATATTCTGGGTTTAGTTGTCCGAATGTCCGATCACCATCTCCCAAAGCAGTTACTATATTCCCAACTCAGGAATGGAAAACGGAATATTGATGGACAGGAAAAGAGATTTAAAGATGGGCTTAAAACCAACCTTAAAAACTGTGGCAAAGACACCAAGAACTGGGAAGCCCTGGCTCTTGAGCACTGTAACTGGAGGTCAGCTGTGACCAGCAGTGCTGTAGAATTTGAAGAGGCATGAATGGAGGGCGAAAGAGAGAAACGTGCCAAGGGGAAGGTGCATCAAGCCAATCCTGAATGGGATCGCCTTCCACCTGGAAACCGATGGCTTCACCGCGGAAACACATGCGGATTAGGAATAGGGCTCCACAGTCACCTATGTATCCACTGCCAAGACACTACACTTGGAAGGCCATCATACTCAGACAATGAGAGATCACCTACGGTCAAGGGCACATTAAGCAAAAATAACTACTGGTGGGGGCAGCTTAGAGGTCTGCCAAACAAAGGTCCAGTGTTACCAGCTTCCCACAGTAGAAAGAAATCACTAGAGTGAGACCCACTAACTAGCCATTTGGCACATGTTCGTTTTGATGAACGCTTATAATTACCAGATAGGGATAATCAAATCTCAAGGCCTAATCCAAGCAAAGTAAAAATAATCAAATTTCATGCTTCACTGGCAGGCGGATAAAAAGTCTCTTTATCTAAACTATATTTTCTTAAGAATCTTTCTGCCATGTCTGATTGCTAATTTAGGCTGAGTGTCAAAGACTGCTTGAACATTTAATATCTTAGGATAGATCTACACTGAAGAAGTAATGCAGTTCAACACAACTTCAACTGCCATGGCTGTGTGCTATGGAATAGTGGGGATTCTAGTTTGTGAGGCAGTCATCAGAGAAGCTCTTGTGATTCCATGGCATTGAGCCATAATAGTTAGAAGTGTTAAACTGTCTTAATTCTACAGTGTAAATGCACCCTCACTCATCCCTGCAACAATGCCATCTTTCATGAAATTATCCGTGTTTGTTTTACACAAGGCTCCGGTTTCTTTGACAGATCTCTGATGTGTCAGGAATCGTTTTCAGTCGTAACAAAGGGAAATGTTTAACTTTTTTCCTGGCAGTAGTAAAAGATGTAATCATCTCATGAAAGAAAGGTTCTGTTTGGTGACACAGAAAGGAAAGAGCAGAGATGGTTATATGGCAGCAATACTCAGAAGATTGCTTTCCATTTACTTCCACATGTTTACTTTAATCATTTACTTGCACATGTTACGTGGATAAATGTATGATTTAATATGTGTGAACGATGCAGGTAGATTCTCCTGGAAATGGCAGGGAATGTAGGTTTTCCCTTTTAAATATTACATCTGTTCCAACACTTCTCAGATGAAAACTTGAACTGAGGACAAAAAGGGGAAATGAGGAGAGAAAACCTTTAATATTTTAAAAGCAGCTGAAAAAGTAATATGAGGATTACTCAGAAATATCCCAGAGTTGGATCTACACTGTTTGAACTGCATTATATGGCCAGTATAAACCTATATAATACATTGTCAAAGGCTTTCATGGCCGGATTCACTGATTTGTTGTAAGTTTTTCGGGCTGTATGGCTATGTTCCAGAAGCATTATCTTCCGATGTTTAGCCTGCATCTAGGCAGGCATCCTCAGAGGATAGATGCAGGTGAAACATCAGGAGAGAATGCGTCTGAAACATAGCCATACTGCCCAAAAAATTACAGCAAACTATATAATGCAGTTTGGTACTGCATTATATGGTCACTGCAGACCCACAAAACTGCATTACTTCAGTCCTCCAGGTGTTTTGGACTTCAACTCCCACAATTCCTAACAGTCGGTAAGTTTAGTATCTCCTATACTTGGGACCAAAATTGTTTAGGATTTTTTAAATTTTCTTTTAAATTGTGGATTGCTTGTATTCACATGCATGTACATAGTGAAGTATCTTGGGAATGGGACCCAAGTCTAAACACAATATTCTTATACACCTTATATAGAGAGTTTTAAAGTAATGTTATGCAATATTTACACAATAAATAATTTTGTGCATGGAACAAAGTTTTACACATTGAATCACCAAAGAGCAAAGATGTTCCTATCTCAGCCACACATGTGCACCATTTTTAATGTCTGAGTATTTTGGACTTCCAGATAATTGATGTTCAACCTGTATTCTGAAAACATTACTCTCCCTCTTGAGAAAAGGAAAACCCAACATTCAAAATATTTGTTTGTGATTAGTAATATTTGCAGCAGAAATTTAATCAAATGGTACTACTTTTCATTATTTTATTGCTGTCTAGTATGTATTCTAACCAACAACAAGTAAAATAAAGTTTCAGAACAAAAGAAGTACCTGTATGTCAGGTAGCTGAAGGTGATAGTTCTTGAGAGGTATTTTTAAAAATAGCCTGATGAAAGGCAGAATGGATGACTTAGTGATTGTGATGGATTAAAGAGGCACGCAGAGGTTGCATAACTTTCCAAGTTTGTTGCACCCCTGGCCAGCGACATGGTCAAAAATAGAAAACTGAAGCTGATGCTGCCAATTTCCCAATCTAATCAGTCTCTAAACCTACAGTAGCACTCCACGCTTTGAAAGCAATCTGGAGGAGAAGAGGCTGCACTCCACAAACAAATTATTACAATAATACTTTTGGTTAAATCTAATTGGGAATCCTAACTATGAGGTTTAACTGGAAAATAAGGTTACGAGATTTTTTAAAAATGCAAAGAATGAATATATTTTAATAAAACTTATATGGATTGTAGCATATGTATTACATTATTTTTCCACATAACCACAATTCATTTCAATACATTTTGTCATCCGTGGATGAGTTTTTGATGCCTAAATAATAATAATAATAATAATTATTATTATTATTAGAAACACAACAAGATGAGTCCACAGCAGACAGGATCACTCTGCTGGCTGTTGTATTGGATCACACGTTGGACACTTCCCGAGTGTCTAGGCTGGGGGCTTCTGGGAGCTGTAGTAGGCTGCTAGGAATTGTGGGAGTTGAAGTCCACCTGGAGAGCCAAAGTTTGCCCGAGCAGTGGTTCCCACCCTTTGGTCTTCCGGGTTATTGAGACTTCAACTCCCAGAAGGCCCAGCCTGTTTGGCCAGCAGCGAGGAATTCTGGGGGATGGAGTCCCAAAGACTGGGAGCGCCAAAGGCTGGCATAAAAGGAAGACCAACTTCAGCTGCCATGTCTCAAAGCTGTGCTGTCCGAGGAGTTGTAGTTTCACAGTGTGCTTAACCTCTGGCAATATTGCAAAACCCAGGAGTCCATATCCTGGAGGCAGGGCAGTTCAAAACTGCATTGCTAGAGGCCTGCTTTGCATTTGGGGGCGTGGCTAGAGGATGGGGCGTGGCTAGAGTTGAAGGGGGCGGGGGCAGGGCAGTTCAAAACCGCAGTGCTAGAGGCCTGCTTTGCATTTGGGGGCGTGGCTAGAGTTGAAGGGGGCGTTCCCATTTCCCGCGCTGCTGGCAGGTCAATGCAGGGTCGAGCCTGGGAAGGGAAAGGAGTTGTTTGGGTTCCTTCCCGCTTTCTGCTTTGGACCCAGGCGGAGCCCCAGCGATGGCGGCGGCGGCGGCGAGGCTGGGGCTGCTGCGGGCGGTGATCATGGGCCCGCCGGGCTCCGGGAAGGGCACCATCTCGGCCCGCATCGTCCAGCACTTCGCCCTGAAGCACCTCTCCAGCGGGGACCTCCTCCGGGAGAACATGAACAGGAAGACCGGTAAGGAGGAGAAGGGAGGGGGAGATGCCTCTACCAGGCATGCGCAAACTTTGCCAATCCAGGTGTTTTGGACTCCAACTCCCACAATTCCTAACAGCCTACCGGCAGAACTGAACCACCTAAACTGGGCTTTACAGGCCAATGGATACTCCACCTCAGACATCAGAAGAGCTGTAAAGAGAAAGGTCCACCCAGAAGAAAAGTGTTCTTGCCTTACATCAAGGGAACCACTGAGCACATAGGGAAGCTGATGAGGAAACACAACCTACAAACTATCTACAGACTCACTTAGAAAATCCAACAAATGCTACGTTCAGCAAAGGACAAGAGGGATCCTCTCACTTCTAGGAGTCTAGCGTATACTATGCAGCTGTGGACAAGTCTACATAGGGACCACCAAATGCAGCGATGCCCAAACACGAATCAAGGAACGTGAAAGGCACTGCAGACTTCTTCAGCCAGAGATTTATTTATTTATTTATTTAAAGCATTTATATTTCGCCCTTCTCACTCCGAAGGGGACTCAGGGCAGAGCACAACATATAAACGGCAAACATTCAATGCCGAAACATATTAGACCATACACATACAAAAGCATTAAAATCACATATCTCGATGTTAAAATCCACTAGTTAAAACTGCCTCAACAACTACATCAAATTTGGTTGGCATACTAAGGGTTCCTATCGCTGCCTCATTGCACAGTCCCAAAGGCTTGGTCCCACAGCCACGTTTTTACCCTTCTAAAGGACAGGAAGGAGGGGGTTGACCTGATCTCATTAGGAAGGGAGTTCCATAGCCGAGGGGCAATTACTGAGAAGACCCTGTCTCTTCGTCCCCGCCAAACGCGATTGTTATAGCAGGGCCTCCCCAGAAGATCTTAATCTCCACGGTGGTTCATAGGGGGAGATGCGTTCGGACAGGTAAATTGGGCCAGGACTGTTTAGGGCATTATAGGCCAAAGCCAGCACTCCGAATTTTGCCCGGTAGCAAACTGGCTGCCAGTGGAGCTGGCGTAACATGGGAGTTGTGTGCTCCCTGTACGCTGCTCCAGTTATTAACCTGGCTGCCTCTCGCTGGACTATTTGAAGCTTCCAAGCAGTCTTCAAAGGCAACCCCACGTAGAGGGTGTTGCAGTAATCTAACCTAGATGTGATGAAAGCATGGACCAAGTCTGACTTCCCAAGATACGGGCGCAACTGGCACACAAGAAGAAGTCAGCCATAGCAGAGTACCTGATGAACCAGCCTGGACACAGCATATTATCTGGGAAGACAGAAATGCTGGACCACTTTAACAACCATCATGTCAGACTACACAAAGAAGTCATTGAAATCCACAAGCATGTGGACAATTTCAACAGAAAGGAAGAAACCATGGAAATGAACAAAATCTGGCTACCTGTACTAAAAAAAACCTCTAAAAACAAAACAGTAAATAAAGAACAGCACTCAAACACAGGGAACTCCAGACAAGAAACAATCTGGGACAGCTAATCACCTCTTAACAAAGTTTTTCCCCAGGCAGTAACAAGCCACACCTAAAAACTGTCAGGCCATTAAATACTCATCAAGGTGGCCAATTGAAACATTCACACCTAGCTCCAACAGACAAGAGATCTTTCTCCCACCCTGGACTTTCCACAGATATATAAACCCAATTTTCCTAGTTTCCAACAGACCTCACAACCTCTGAGGATGCCTGCCATAGATGCAGGCGAAATGTCAGGAGAGATTGCTTCTATATTTATTTATTTACAGTAGGGATTCAAAGCTGTTTACACATAAATAATGGCAAGATTCAATGCCATACAGCCCAAAAAACCTACAACAACCCAGTGACTCTGGCCATGAAAGTCTTCGACAATACATATAAATGTAAGGTTTTCATGGGATATGTGGTGTCCCCATACATTTTATCACAATATATTTCTCCATATTTCTTAATAGGCTTTGGTTTAATCTCCGGTTTGCTTATAAAACAGAATTACTGTGTCACAAAATTATGCATGCCTAAAATGTGTGTCACCAACATCAAATGTATAGAAAGCTTTGTTTTGTACCAGTGCCTAATGCCGCAACCCCTTAAGACAGTTCCTCATGTCATGGTGACCCCAAACCATAACATTATTTTCGTTGCTACTTCACAACCTTAATTTTGCTACTGTTATGAACCGTAATGTAGACATCTGATATGCAGGATATATTTTCATTCACTGGACCAAATTTGGCCCAAATACCCGATATGCCCAAATTTGAATACTGGTGGGGTTGGAGGGTATTGATTTTGTCATTTGGAAGTTTGGAACCCCACCAACGATGGAATTGCACACAGAACCCCCATGACCAACAGAAAATACTGGAAGCGTTTGGTGGGCATTGACCTTGAGCTTTGTAGTTATTGTTCACCTACCTTCAGAGAGCACTGTAGACTCAAACAATGATGGATCTGGACCAAACTTGGCAGAGATACTCAGTATGCCCAAATGGGAACACTGGTGGACCTTGACATTTGGGAGTTGTAGTTGCTGGGATTTATAGTTCACCTACAATCAAAGAGCACTCTGAACCCAGCCCACAGTGGATCTGCACCAAACTTGGAACACTACCTACATGACCAACATTGAATACTGGTGGGGTTGGGGGGTTGTTTTTGAATTATGTGAGATGTAGTTCAACAACACCAAAAAGGAAGAGAAAGACAGGTGGCGAGATCTTCAGCCTTCTCTACTAAAAGGGTTCTTAAGACCAATCAGAAATATGTGTTTTCTGATGGTCTTTGGTGGCCCCTCTGAGACCCGCTTGCACCCCCCCCCAAGGTTGTTGACCCCCAGATTGAGAAACACTGCTCTAGAACTTTCCTCATTTCTTTGTTTCTATGTGCCTTACAAATATATGGTACTTCTGAAGTTCCCATTGATATCCTTGACTATCAAAGGGATGATTGGGTTGTTGTAGGTTTTTCGGGCTATATGGCCATATTCTAGAAGCATTCTCTCCTGACGTTTCGCTTGCATCTATGGCAAGCATCCTCAAAGGTTGTGAGGGATGATTGATCTATTCATCATTATCATGCCTGACTCTTCTGTACACTCTAGGTGTCCACATTTGAACCTATGACTGGAGGGAGTTGTAGTCTATGACATGTCAACTCATGTTGTCTGTGACAGCACGGTTTTAAGTAACCCATGAAGCTACATTTTCTAGGCTTGCTGCTGTGTAGATGCCTAGTAGTGATGGATGGCAGTGGGAGAAGCACTCAAGGGACCTGGGCAAATCACGTACTCTCAGCCCATGAAAAACTAGTTTGCCACAAGTCGGAAATGACTAGGAATCTCTAGGCCTTGTAGGATGACACTGTGGTCAACTTCCTTCAGTCACACTGGAGGACCTAGAGATTTAAAAAGAGACACACCTCTTTGGGAATATCTAGGTCCTCCAGTGTAGTTCTGTGGTCAGCTTCCAGAGAAAGTCAACCACAGAGTCATGTGGAAAGATTTTAAACATTCCTCGAGAAGTGTTCCCTCAAGTAAAAATATAGCAGTGTTTGGTGGTTTTTCTGTTTTACTGAGTTCCTGTGCACCAAACCCAGTGGTTCTCAACCTGTGGGTCTCCAGATGTTTTGGCCTTCAACTCCCAGAAACCCTAACAGCTGGCAAACTGGTTGGGATTTCTGGAAGTTGTAGGCCAAAACACTTGGGGACCCACAGGTTGAGAACCACTGCCACCCCAGAAAGGCTAACTATATCAGCATTTGGAAGCTTGTGAGTAAAGATTGATTGTGCCCTTTGCCTTGCTCCCTCACCTTGTTACCTCCTCACACAGGGATGAATTAGAAGCACCTAACTGGCTTAAACACACATTGCAACAGTCATAGGCTCCTCTAAGTTAAACATTGATTTGCCTTGCCACTTCGAGACTTGGCCTATATGACATACCCTTTGCTACTCCCAGTGTGTGTTGTCATTTTAGAGAGCTGTGTTAAACAATTTAAAGCTCCTGGATTTAAAAATGTATTGCTAAACTACTGGTGCTAACGGTTACAATCCCAGGAGTTTCGAATGGAAATAGGATGTGGTTAAGAGCAATTCTTAATGCAGTGAGAAAGGCAGAAAATGAAAAAGTCACAATAGGGACAGTATTTTGCAAAGGTATGGATATATGGGTCCCTTTTGTGTGCTGGTTCGACCCTCCTTGAGATGTCTAAGTGTAAAAATAAAATCAGAGGACTCCTTTGCCTCTGAATTCTGTGCAGTTGTGTTTGGAAGCAGAGTCTCATGAGAATATCACACATTGTGTCCTCACCTCCATGCAGCTCTTTAAAAGGAAGGAAGAAGTGCCACACCATGCTGCTCTATTTGAATTTATTTATTTATTTATTTATTTATTTATTTATTTATTTACTACGCTTATATGCCGCAATTCTCAGCCCAAGGGCGACTCATTGCAGTGTACAACATAGAAAAACAGGTGCAAAATACAAGACATAGTGTAAAACAATCCACAATTCATCATTATCAAAAAGCATCTCATCAAAACATCAACATCACTACAAAAGCCAATTCCGAGTCGTCTCATCGTCAAACCCACAATCCGATATCATTTCCGTTGTTCCATTCCTATGGTCAAATTACCAGTCATTGCAGCCAGGTCTTTAACTTCCTGCAGAATATCAACAGGGAGGGAGCTAGCCTGATGTCCACGGGAAGGGTGTTCCACAGCCGAGGAGCCAACACCGAGAAGGCCCTATCTCTCGTCCCCGCCAGCCGTGCCTGTGACGCAGGCGGGATCGAGAGCAGGGCCTCCCCGGAAGATCTCAAAGTCCTCATGGGCTCATAGGCCGAGAGGCGGTCAGTTAGGTATCTTGGGCCGGAATCGTTTAGGACATGTAAAAGAAGTCCTTCTCCAAAGGCTGAAGGATGAAGAAAGGAAACTCTGGCATTTCTTCAATTATGGTGTGTGGTCTTGTTTTGCTTGCCCTTCGGTGCTTGGTGAATTGTTCCCAGCTGAATGTTGGTGAATTGTTTGCTGCCAGAGTCATCCCCTGACTTATTTTACAGCCAAGCTCTAACTGTGTTGTTGAAGGCTTTCATGGCCGGGATCAGTGGGTTGTGTGTGCCACACAGCCTGGAAAACTCACAGCAACCCAAGCTCTAACTGTCTTGAAAAACGATAAATCTTCCCAGATTTTTGTCTACTGACCAGAAATATTAAGTGAAAAGCAGGATATTCAAAACATATCACTATGTTTGTGAATGTTGTGTAATTCCATGTAAGATTATAGTATTTTTGTTTATTCTTTGCTTTCTTAGAAATTGGAATACTTGCTAGGTCATATATTGACCAAGGACAGCTGATTCCTGATGACATTATGACACAGCTGATGTTACATGAGGTGAAAACTCTAGAAAAGAACCACTTGCTACTGGACGGTGAGTGTTTTATTGCAACTCAATGCTCTACTAAGGTAATGTTTTGAAAGTGTCTTTACTGTTGTTGAGTGCCTTCCAGTTGTTTCTGACCGTTGGCAACCCTAAGGTAAGGTTTGTTCAGAAGAGGTTTGCCATTATGGTGATTTCAGAGATAAAAGAGGTAAAACAGGAAAAACTGAAGTAACGAAGAAAAAAGCATAAATTAAAATAATTTTTTTTTATCACAAAGTATTTCCTAGTAGTATTTGGATCCCCTAAGCACCACTGTAGGACAAAGCCTTGTTCCAGAATAGGAAGGAATCAGTGAGGAGACAATAGAGAATGTCAACACAATCACAAACAGTGTGGAAATATGAAAAATCAAAGAAGAATTGAATTGGTAAGATTTAAGAAGGAAAATGAAAAAGGGAGGCTTGATAGAGAAGGACACTTTTTGAGAGCAGCGAAATAACAAGAGTTAAGCCAGTGGTTGCCAACCTGTGGTCCAGGGACCACCAGTGGTGCAAAAGCATCATAGTTAATACACTGTTGCAACGAGGGCGACTGGTCTCGTGAAACCTTCTTATAGAGCCAAGGTTTATTAAATACGGTTTTCTGTGGGCGAGCAGATGGCGAGTACTGGATGGCATATGTTCTGTGTCAGAAACTAGAGCTGACGTGGTCTGTCCGATGCAGTTTTCTGAATCGGCACCCCAAGTAACCAAACCGAATCTAAAGTTGACCAAAAACCGATTCATAACCTTTTTGGTACTAATGTTGGAGAGTGGTCCCTGGTCAAGTGATCACTGGTCAAAAACAGGTTGGGGACCACTGAGTTAAACAAACAAGAATTAAGAGAAAAAGACAGAGGGCTCATAAGTTAGAGACCTATGATATGAAATCGAAAGAACTGACTCCAAAGGAACTAATAATGGTTCTCCTTGCATGGATATAAGCATGTTTCCTAAATTTTGGATTAGGTTTCAGTGTTTCCTAACTGGATCTTGAGTCCTCAGCGTAGGTTGTAAGAGAGACTTAACCCTCAATCTTGGGAAGGAAAGCACAACAATTCAGATATTCACACCGCCACAGCTGTATTAAATGTGGATAATGTGTTCTCTCCAAGCTCCTGATATTTATTGAGTTGGACCCTTTGGAAAAGAAACCTTTGAGGATGTGTGGCTCTTCCTGAATTACAAGTCAAGATGGGATAGTCCAGGAGGTAGGCAGCACAGAGGAGGGGGAAAAACTGCTTTTCTTCCAGGGCAATATGTGTGCCATGGTTCAAAGCCAGTCAACCAAGGAAACCTTCACTGTTACTTTATATGGGGGAAAGGAATTATTTTAATATCGAGGTTCATTCAACACTCACCTGCATTCTAAAATAGTGCAGCCAAATCTGAGTTAAATTGAGTACTACCTATAATAGGCCCTGTGCTGCAAAGTCATAATAGTTGTCATTACTATCATACACAACCCATCGTGGTTCTCAACCTGGGGTCCCCAGATATTTTTGGCCTGCAACTCCCAGAAATCCCAGCCAGTTTACCAGCTGTTAGGATTTCTGGGAGTTGAAGGCCAAAAACATCTGGGGACCCCAGGTTGAGAACCACTGCCTGCAATCAGAATCTACTTTCAGACTGGTTTGCCATGTTTATACTGAGAAGTGCTTCCTAAGGTCTCTTCAGTTAAACTGTGATGACAGAAAATAATAGCAATTAGAGGCTTAGCATTTCTTATCTTGGGGCCGTGGTGGCACAGCAGGTTAAACTGTTAAGTTGCAGAATCCGCGGAGCAGGATGAGCTCCCGCTGTTAGCCCCAACTTCTGCCACCTAGCAGTTTGAAAACATGCAAATGTGAGTAGAGCAATAGGTACTGCGGGAAGGAAATTATGCTCCATGCAGTCATGCCGGCCACATGACCTTGAAGGTGTCTATGGACAACACCGGCTCTTTGGCTTAGAAATTGAGATGAGCACCGCCCCCAAGAATCGGACTCAACCTTTACCTTTATCTAAAAAACTTGGAATCAGAAGTGTTTGGGATTTTAGTTTTTCTAAATTTTGAAATACTTGTTCGAGAGTGGACCCTTCACATCAGTGGGTTTCATTTTTGCAGATTTGATTACTACCTTCCTTCTGCCCTAGACTGATACAGAGTTGGTGGTGTCACTTTCCTGTTTCTTCTCTCAGTCGTCTTCCAAGGAAGACAGGTCATCTTGGCTTTCTTCCAATAGCGGGAGACATACATAGCTTCTGACCTCTTCACGTTATCAGACTGCTTTTTGCTGGGAACTGAGTCAAGCAGTTGTCAACTCCTGCTTCGCTCTTGAGCTTCTATGCCTTTCATATGCAGGAGGAAAGTACTCATACCCTCCCATTCACCCTTTCAATCTTCTGGCAGATATGAGCAAGCCAGTATTATGGCAGGGATGGTAGGGGATTGGTAACAATTCCTCACTTCTGGAAAAACAAGGAGAAAGAGTGATCAGTGGATATCTGAGAATGCCTTCTATCTGGGGACATTAGACTTGAGAACCCAATAGAAAATGAGCTAAATGAAGACTGTCTTGACTTTCAGAAGTTTCACTGTGATCTGGAAGGATTACAAGCGCCATTGTGTGGTTTGAAAATGGTGGGAGGTGTTTCCTTTCAGCCTGATGGCGAAAGGGAGCAATTTAAACCTTCCGATATTATTATTATTATTATTATTATTATTAAACTTTATTTGTACCCCGCTAGCATCTCCCAAAGGATTCGATGCGGCTTACAAAGGCCAAGGCCTCAACATACAATATAACAATACAGAACCAAAGCAAATTAAAAACAATTCAGCAATAGAAACAACAAGCAATAAACAATAACAAAGACATAATAAAATTGGGCCGGGCCAAAGTAATGGGTACAGGATTAAAAGTGCTGGTGTGAACAGGTGGTATACAAGGCATTRTASGGCAAGTGCAGTGTGYGGTGTACAGCAATCTTAATTCTAGTAAAGTGCTTAAGGACTTGGTGATWGGGATTTCCTAGTCTGGGAAGGCACATCGGAACAGCCAGGTCTTCAAGTTCTTTCTGAAGACTGCCAATGTAGGGGCCTGTCTAAGGTCTTTGGGGAGGGTGTTCCAAAGTCGGGGGGCCGCCACAGAAAAGGCCCTGTCTCGATATATTTACTTATACAGTTCTGAAATCATCCTGTTACCAGGAGCCCYGGTGGTGTAATAGGTTAAAYCTTTGTGCCGGCAGGACTGCAGACGAAAAGGTYGCGGTTCAAATCTGGGAATYGGGGTGAGCTCCCATCTGTCAGCTCCAGCTTCTCATTTGGGGACATGAGAGAAGCCTCCCACAGGATGGTAACACATCTTGGCATCCCCTGGGCAATGTTTTTGCAGATGGCCAGTTCTCTCACAACAGAAGCGTCTTGCAGTTTCTCAAGTCACTCCTGACACACACAAAAATGCTGTAACCAGTGACCATGGTGGCGGAAGGACTATGAGAACTGTCCCAAAACGTATCTTTTTCAGGCTTCTATCACACTGCGTGTTTCAACAGAACAAATGTCACTAGTAGGCCAAACTATGTATTACAGGGGAAAGTGGCTTTATGAGAGGATCCCATCTTTTAAAGCACAGGTGAGAAGCATAGCATTTCTCAGTATTGGTTACGCTGGCTTGAGCTGATGGGACTTGCAGTCTAGTGACACCCTAACGCAGTGGTTCTCAACCTGTGGGTTCCCGGATGTTTTGGCCTTCAACTCCCACAATAGCTGGTAAACTGGCTGGGATTTCTGGGCATTGTAGGCCAAAACACCTGCATACCCACAGGTTGAGAACCACTGATCTAAACGCTGATTTAAGACCTATTTATATTTACAATTATGTCATTTTTATTTTATACTTTACAGGCTTCCCCAGGACTGTTCCACAAGCTGAAGCTCTTGATAAAGCGTGCCCAATCGACACTGTTATTGACTTGGATGTGCCTTTTGAGACTATCCAACAACGCCTAACTGCACGCTGGATCCATCCTACTAGTGGCAGGGTTTATAACCTTGAGTTCAACCCTCCCAAAGTTCCTGTAAGTAATATCTATCTCTAGAGTGTCTGTAATGAAACAAATCTTTCTATCATTGGTTATACAAGTCAGTGTTAATGCTAAGAAACAGAAGATGGCAAAGAACATAAAAAGAAGTCAACTGTTCAAAATTTAAGAGCGAGCCCACTGGAGGAAACAAGGATGAGACTGGGATCCCAAAACTGGGATGTAGTTGGAAGCTGATGAGATAGAGAAAGTTGAATTAGATGTTCAGTGGAAATATAATTGATATCATTAGCAGTTTGAACCTTTTGTTATGAAATCTTTCATTTTTGCATCTCTCTCTGAGTACTGTTGCTTTAAGAGTGTTTGGGAGGAGACAGTAATACAAATTACAACCCAACAGAAACCATATTTCACTTGTCCAGCACTATAGTCATTTTAGGGTTTGTCACTAAACCAGGGAGTGGTTTCAAGATTATATAGGGCAAGGTGAATGAGAAAAGCCCAAGAGTTGTCTGAGCAAGCAACCTGGGAAGGGAAGTTGCCACATTTACAAACACATGCACAAGCAAACCTTTGTTTGGTGAATAAATGTAGACAGATATAAGTTGAATTATACTGTGTCTCAGGTATGGACAGACCCAGGCCCAGGCCCAGGGGCTAGATGTGGCCCCTGGGGCTCTTTTCTCAGGCCCTCCTCTCTCACACCATCTTATCCTTCTTTCCTTCTTTCTCCCTTTTCTTCCTCTTTCCCTCCCTCCCTTCCTTACCTCCTTCTTTCTCCTTTCACCCTTTTGTCCTTCCTTCCTCCTTCCCTCTCTCCCTTTCTCCTTACTTCCTTCCCTTTTATTTTTCTTTCCTTCTCTTTTTCCTTCCACCCTCCCTCTATTCCCTTTCATCCGTCTCTTCCTCCCTTCCTTCCTACCTTCTCTTTTTCCTTCCTCCTTTCCTCCAGGGGACATTAAGATGGGAAGAGAAAGTCAAAAAAGAACAGGAGAACCATGTTTCAAGATTTAAAAGGATGTCCTATTGAGGAGGGAGGGGGAAAACTGACTTTCTGTTGCTCTAGACACCAGGGTACAAGTGAGCAATGGGTTCAAATGGTAGGGAAAGAGATTTTACTGAAAAGATTAGGAAGAACTTCCTGAGAGTAAGAGCTGTTGGAGAGTGGCATAGGCTGCCTCGGAGTGTGGTGGAGCCTCCTTCTCTGGAGGCTTTTCCCCAGAGGCTGTCTTATCGGAGTGCTTTGGTAAGGGGTAAGGTGATGCCTGGTAAGGGGTTGGACTTGATGGCCCTTGGGGGTCTCTTCCAGCTCTAGGATTATAGTTCAGGAGTAGGCAATATGGGGTCTAATGGATACACTTTTTCTCTCCTGTCCACCATCTCATACTGATGAAGGCCAACCCTTTTGGGATCCAAACGCTTCCTGTCTTTCCTTCACTTTCTGCCTCTGAAAAATAAAAGGAAGGGGAGGAAAGAGCAGGGAGGGGACTTGGGGAGAACCCCCTCCCTCCTGGACTGCCCACCCCTCTCTGACTTGCCATGCATCTCCCAAGTTAGAAAGTTTGTCCATGCATGCGGTATCTTGATTTCAGAAATATTTCATATCATGAATAGCTGGAAGTAGTATGTTCTGTGGCAAAATACAAACAAAACAAGAAAGACTAACCCATCTGTCCTACATGGAAAGGAAAAGTTTCAGATTGTATTATGCATTGAAACAGAATTCCCAGAATGGGTGAAAACAAACATTTTCACAATGAGAATGGATAGGAAAGTTGCATTATGTCTGTCTTTTACCATTCACTATGCTTAGGGTCTGGATGATGATACAGGAGAGCCTCTCATTCAGCGTGATGATGACAAACCGGAAACTGTTATGAAGAGGTTGAAATCTTATGAAGCCCAAACCAGACCGGTCCTGGAATATTATCGGTAAGCTCCTTCTGTTTCAGAATTCATCCACTTCCCTAGCATTTTTTCTCTTAAATTTTTTGACAGCTGCTCAGAGCTGCCTGTTGGATCCCAACAAAACAGAGGGTGAAGCATGGCACATGTATAAACCTTCCCTCCATTGCTGGAAGGCACTAATGAAAGGGTGCAGTTGCACTTATTTTCTGCGTGTGGGCTTTCTTTAGGCACCTGGGTGGAAACAGAATACTGGGCTTGATAGGCCTTTGATCCAGTCTAAGCCAATTCTTAGAAAATCAGTAAAGTAGGTTAAGCAGAGTTGCTTGGCTGAAATTGCACAAGATTTCATGGCTGAACATGGACTCAGAACTACGATCCTTCATGTCCAAGTCTTGTCTAGTAGCTTCATCATGAGACCTAAAGAGTTTGAGGTCCCACCTTCACACTCTTGTCAACAGTTCCCAAATTCCTACTCACTGATACCACTACTGGCCTCCTTCCTTTATGAGCGATTTGTTGTGGGCTTAATAACAAAAGATCCTCCACATAAATGTACAGCAGAATAACTTATTAGCAGTAGTGTGATCCAGCACCAGTAGCCCAAAGTGGTTAAAAAAAACCATACAGACCAATGTTATCTCTTCCATAGGAGGCTTTTCTTTATAGCAAATTAATATGCTTGTACTATTTACAAGAATAAGGTTGCCATGACATGAGCTTCACACACGAGTCCTCTTAATAACAAGGTCTACTTCAGACTCTGAGGCCTTTCTCCCACAATGAGGCCTATTACCACTGAGACCTATTCTCCCACTGAGGTATACTCTCACACAGAGACTTCTCTCACACTTAGAGCTCTCTCAGACTGAGGTGTTACTAAGCAACAGGCATGCCTGCTTATATTGAATCACAGCTTCTCTGAGTTGCTGTATCCATTTCACCCTTTCAGTGCTTGATTCACATTTTTGTAACCAAAAATATTTAGTCAATTTTTAATATTTCTGACATAATTCTTTCAAGGAGAATTGTCTAGTCCAGTACTGGCATTCTTCCTTGCTGTATTACCAATTTTGAGGCTTATGAAGGGTTGATATTCTATTACACACTGCTTTGGGAGTGCTGATGAGCACGAAATTGACTTCAAATTAATTTTGTTTTGATGTAGTTCTCAAAGAGGCAAATCCATTTGGGGGGGGGGAGGATTTGGGAACAGAATAAAACCATAGAATAATTGTGGGAGAAGTTATTTATGGAATGAGTGCCTCTTTCTGAGCTCTTTTGTGGAACAGGATATATTACAGACAGGATATCTTTAACATGCAGGTTGTCAACTTTCATGTTCTGGCTGCTCCATTCTGTGAATCTCAAAAACAATTATTCATGCAGTAGCAGCCAGATTACAACTTGATAAATGGGATAAGGAGTCATCTTACTCTGACACTTCTTCCTTATAAAAGACTACTTGCTATAACACGTATAGAGATGGAGAATCTTTGGTTTCTAAATGTTGTTGGATTTGGGACTTCCACTCCCATCAGCCCCAGCTAGTATCACCAGTAATCAAGTATCTCAAGTTTCTCCATTAGCAGAGCTTTACTGTGTTTTCAAATGTGTCAAGTGAGGAATTCAGATATAAAACTCAGCATTGAGAATATTGTCACTCAGCCTGAGGAAGTCATGATGAATATAATTTTGAAAATGTTGGAAAAATGTAATAAAAGGGGAGAAATGAAATACAAAATCTGAGAACGTAAAGAGAAGTGTGCCCTTACATGTACTTCTTAGCAGAATGATGTAAAAATAAAAAATTATGAAAGGTCGGGTATGGTAATTTGTAATAGTTATACCATTCTGATTTTTTTATTTGTTTCCCTATTTTGATCTCCTGGGAAGGTTGTCCTCTTACTGCCCTACCAGGAGGCCTGAACCTTAAAAAAGCATATAACTGATTTGTCTCTTCTCTCCTCTGTAGCCAAAAAGGGGTGCTAAAATCCTTCGCTGGGACAGAAACCAACAAAATCTGGCCACATGTTCATAGATTCCTCCAAACGAAGCTGCCTGAAATTGGTTAGAATTAAGCTGCTAATATCAATGAAGTAAGCACTATTACTGTACTGAGAAATGGAAGCTACTAGCATATGGCTAAGCTTTTCAAAATGTGATTTTATAATTATTGCTGGAATTTTCTAACAATTTCTGAAATTATGAAGTATGTTAAAAATCCTCTGCCCAATGTGCCATGCTAATGAACATTTAACCGGAATGTCCACATTTCAACTCTTATCTCATAATGTCATTTTTCTCTTCTATTAAATTGACGGTTAAGTATTATTTTTGTATTAGATGTACTGGTATTTTGTAAAATTAATTTAATATTAAACTGATTTTCAATAAAATCCACCTCAAGTGTCCATGAATATTAATGCACAAGTAACACTGAAGATTTAAATAATGGGCAACTGCTCACTGGAGGGAAGGATATTAGAGGCAAAGATGAATTACTTTGGCCACATAATGAGAAGACAGGAAAGCTTGGAGAAAATAATGATGTTGGGGAAAATGGAAGGAAAAAGGAAGAGGGGCCGACCAAGGGCAAGATGGATTAATGTTATCTTTGAAGTGACTGGCTTGACCTTGAAGGAACTGGGGGTGGCGATGGCTGACAGGGAGCTTTGGGTGGGCTGGTCCATGAGGTCAGGAAGAGTCAGAAGTGACTGAATGAATAAACACCACCACCATCAAATGTCTGTAAGTGTTGGAGTATTCAGTTTTCATGGCAGCAGAGAGAAACCTGTGGCCCTTCAGATGTTGCTGTACTTCCAATTCCCAGTAAGCCTGGTTAATAATGAGGACTAGTAATTCATTATCATCTGAAAGACCCCATGTCCCTTTCCCATAGTGTAGCCATTCTATTTTAATTCAGTATAGATAGTAACATCACTGTAGGGTTCTCCTCTGTAGAAGCTGCTATGAGCTAAATATTATTTAATAGCTTGGGTACTTGGCATTTTTATTTTACAAAATACATAAGGTTGTAGGTGAACTACAACTCACATCATGCCAGGTTAACCCCGAGAAACTCCATCAATACTTAATGTTTGTTATGTTGGGCAGGTTTGCTCTCTGGATTTAGGTGAACTACAACTCCTGTAAATCAAGGTCAATTCTCCCCCCTCCCCTCCCCTCCCCTCCCCTCCCCACGAACCTTTCCATTATTTCTTGTTGGTCATGGGGGTTGTGTTGCCAAATGCAGTCCAGGTCCATTGTCGCCAGGGGTCACAGGACTCTGTTGTGATGCAAAGTAAACTACAACTTCCATCATGTGGAGTCAATTCCCCAAACCTCTCCAGTATGTTCAGTTCCTGCTTAGTTCTGCTGTTTGTTGTGCAGACAGAGTTGAAAAGAGTAGGCAAGGGTTAAGAAAGAGGCAATGGGTGGGATCATGCAAATTCCACACCAATGGAGAGTAAGAAACACTGAGATGTCTGTGATGGAGGAAACATAAAATCTAGGATGACATTGTCCACAAATGAAAGCATTCCTTGGGTGGTGGGCAGTATGGTGTTTGGGGAGGACATTGGCAGGGGTTGGTCTACATGTCCATGGCACTCACTATAATCTGAAATGTCAGTGGAGGGAGCGCTTTTGGTGGCTCCTCAGCACTGGGTTAAAGCTGTTTCTGGAAGGAGGAGCCTGCCTATGGAAGTGGGCACCCCAGCCACATACACACATACATATTTTCACTTTTATTATGTGTTTAGATATGTATAGATATATAGGTCCCTTTAAATTTCCAGAGGTTAGGCTAGAGAAGAACATTGAGATCTCACAACATCCCTCCACCATACACACATTAAGACTACAGTGTCATTGGATCATATATTTTTTTCCTTCCTCAATAGATCAAAGCACACACATAACTTGTTTTAATAACTGAAATCTTGCCTTTCTACTATGATGGATATACTTGTTTTCATGAGCAATGTTCTATGAAGCAAGTGTAACTGTTAACCGGCTTTAGTCTCAGATGATGTTCACCACACTGCTTCCTTGTCTGAAGCCAACAGTGGATTGCAATAAAAAATCCACCTTATTCAGCTACATCTTAATTGAAATATCTTTGGGGGGAGGGCGAAGAAGAGCAGGTCTACATATAGATCTACAATGGTTATGCAATCAGAATGCAGCTACCACAGACCGAGCTCTGGGCTAGATGCCAGCTGTAGAAAACTATTCTGATGACGCAACTGTCAAGAAAACAAAATAGGGGTTGTACAGCAGAAAGCATAACCTCCAAAATGGAATCAAAACAGACATAGAGAGACACTCAACGTAAGAGGCCAAACTCCACAAATCGCGAGGGTATTTCAGCATTATGGACATATGGTTCAGGAAGTCAGAATAAAAATATAGTCTGGGAATATCTCATGCAAAGTAATGTTATTAGATAAAAGAGACTTCCTATTGCTAAAATATTTATAGCAGGGATGGAAATTGTTATCTCCTGTGACCACAAGTCCCCTCAAAAACAACGCCGTAACTGGCTTTAGGCATTACTCCCTGCCCCTTTTTCACTTCAGCTCAACCCCAGTAACTCCTCCTCCCAGAGAGAAGTGACCAGTGAGGTGCTAGAGGGGTCTGTCCTAGGTCAAGTGCCATTCAACATATTTATCAATGACTTGGAATAGAAAGCATGCTTATCCAATTTGCAGCCAACACCAAATCTGGAGGAGTAGCTAATACCCAGACGACAGGCTCAGAATCCAATATATTCTTAAGAGATTAAAGAGCTGGCCCAAAATGAACAAAATGAATGTCAACAGGAAGAAATATAAGTTATTAGGCAGACATAAATCAAATGCACAGACATAAATTGTTTGACACCACTTTCATTGTCAAGGCTCAGTGCTATGGAATCTGAGATCTGTAGTTTGGTGAGGCACCAGCACTCTTTGGCAGAGAAGGCTGATGAAGAAGTAAAACGTTAACTCCCAGGATTCCACAACACAGAGCCAAGGCAATTAAAGTGGTGTCAAACTGTATTCATTCTACAGTACAGATGATCCCCTAGCTTGACAACAGTATATGTGAAAAGGATGTAGTCCACAAGAACTTGAGAAAGTAGGAGTAACAGTAATTATGTAACCTCATTTCGAACTTTGGGAGGAAAGGTTATTGTAGCTTTCAGATGCCCCTGATTTAGAGGAAGGCTTACCACAAAGAGATATTTATTTATTTCCCCAACCTGTACCCTAGCCAGCAAACTTGTGGAATTTTGCTACTTGTTTTTCCTTTGCTCCCATACAAATAGTTAAAAGAAGGATGACTAAAATGATCAAGGGTCTGGAGAACAAGCCCTATGAGGAGTGGCTTAAAGAGCTGGGAATGTTTAGCTTACAGAAAGAAGGCTGAGAGGAGACATGATAGCCATGTATAAATATTGGAAGTCATAGGGAGGAGAGAGCAAGCTTATTTTCTTCTGCCTTGGAGACTAGGACACTGCACAATGGCTTCAAACTACAAGAAAGGAGATTCCACCTGAATATTAGCAAGGGGTTGGACTGGGTGGCCCACGGGGTCTCTTCCAACTCTATGATTCTATGAAAATCCCTATTCCAATAACACTGTGAGAACTAATAGCACTGTACTATTTAATTGTTTTTAAACTTTTGTATTGCACTATTTAAAGTTGATTGAAGTGTGGGATTGTTAGCCACCTTGAGTCTCCATGGGAAGAAAGGCGGGGTATAAATAAAGTTAATAATAATAAAATAAAATACAGGTATATTCAGGCTAAAGTAGGTGTTTGCATGTGCTTTTCTTCTTTAACTGGGAAAAGTTCTTATACTACAACAAAGAAGAGTGGCAGCATGTTTCACCAAACTTCTCCTTTGAAAGTAATAATACGCACATGTGAACAAAAAGAAAAGTATCTTGAATTTTCTTGAGACCATTTGAAGGCTTCTCTTTTGCTTTCCTCTGTCTCTACAATTTAAATTATTATTGCTTTTGTGGCCAAGAAAGGGATATAAGAACAACAAAGATGAAGAATGTAGAAGATGGCCTTTAAAATAGCTATCAGATCTTGGTATGCAAACTCTTATTTAAAAGTATTGTTGAACTCTGAAAAAAAAAGTTACATTTGAGTTCAACTCTTACTTTTCCATTGCATTGTCCTCTGACATGCTTACATTATGCCTTACATTATTCTACAAAGTCTCAATTCTTCTCAAATCAATGCCACACATTCCAAATTCAAAAATAAGTTACACAAATTTCACAGGTTTGTGATTAGTTCCTTCTCTGATTTTAATGCAATTTTTCAGAAATTGAGTTGGCATCCTAATATAGTTAGTTCAGCTAAACACTGAAAATTGGAGAGGGTGCTTTGACATTATCTTTTGTACCGATCTATAGGCTTAATACATAAATAATCAGAATAATCCAATGTTCCACTGGTTAATCCTTCATTGCAGATTTCTGCTCCTGCTCGATGCACTTCATGAATTAAAACTACCCAAGGTAAAATTTAACATGTTTTATTTAATATACAGGCAAGATAGCTGAAGGAGGCTACGACACAATGCACATTTCCTTACATAGAAAAAGCATTTCTCCTCCATGCAGTCAGTGTCATTTATATAAAATCCCCAGAAATTATTGTACAATTTTGACAATCCTGGTCTGAGCATCTGCTGCTGTCTTCAGACAAAGGATACAATTACTAGTCATGATTTCCTTCCATCCTTAGCTAACAACATCCATGTATGATTTCCATAGCAATAAATTGGGTTTAATAACTGCCACACCTAAAGAAATGACTTCTCCCCATCAAATGTTTAGTTCTAGGCCACAGTAGTATATGGACCCAACATATCAGGGTTTTTTTTTTTAACCAGAAAGCTTTCAAGATTGAATTATGTTCCATACATATGCCACATTTTAAACAAATTGTGTAAATCCCAGAACTGTGGCTTGAGGTTTGGCTATTGTTTCCTCTCATAATAATTCCTATTATGAAACTTTTGTTGTGTTTAAAAACGAGTTTCTTTCCTGGGGTGCATCTACACCACTTTAACTGCTAGGACTCAATGATATAAAATCATGGGAGTTGTATTTTTACAAAGTATTTAATTTTCTTGGCTAAAGAGTGCTGGTGATCAGAAAACTAAAAATCCCAGGATTCCATAGCACTCAGCCAAGACAGTTAAAGAGGTGTCAAGCTGTATTAATTCTAGGGGTTGATGCATTCTGGGTTGATGAGAAAACAAAGAAGCCTCAATTGGGCACAACTTGTGAATATCTCTGGCTTCTATGGTTCTTTACATAGCTGGGTACAAAAAAGGTTCTGATATCATAGCTGGGTAAAAAAAAAAGATCATATTTTTTAAAAAAACAACCAAAAATCAAAATCTATACCATCTTCCCAATTTGGAAACTGGTTCAACCCAAGATACCTCAGGATTGAATTGGGAAAACTTCTTGAATGGACAGAGTAAAATAACACATTCATTTTCTCAACATGTTCTCCTCACTGCAGATGAAGAGTGACTTCATCAGAAGTGGCACTCAACATAAAACGTGACTACATAGTAGAACCTAGCATGATGTAAGCAACATAGAAGAGGAAGGCAACAGAGTCCACAACAGGCATGGGCAAACTTTGGCCATTCTAGCCTCTTCGACTTCAACTTCCACAATTTCTAACAGTCTACCGGCTGTTAGGAATTGTGGGAGTTCAAGTCCAAGACACCAGGAGGGCCCAAATTTGCCCATGCCTGGTCTACACTGACATATATTAGAAACCAAACTTCTCAAGAATTTGCTTTTAGCTTTCAAAACAGTCTTCTGCTAGTATGACCTGAAGCACTAAAAAGCATACTGATAGGACACTTTAAGCCTCACATTCACATATCACTGAAAATAGGTTCAGTCAGTTTGGCACCTGAATTTTCTTAAGTGCTCATCATGATTATAAAAGAATATTCTGAAGGTCACAAAGGTAACCAAGTTGTACTGAATTCTTGTCAATCTGGATACTTGATATTTGTCAAACAGTGCTATCGTAAAGTTTTCCTGTCTCTAGAAAATATGTTTTATACTCCTTAAAAGCTCTTAACAATACTGTTGATACTTAATTCAAGATAACCATCATTTACACATCAAAACAGACAAGTGTCAGAGGAAAGTTCAAACCGGAAAAAATCTCATCCTTCTAGTAGAACTGAAATACCAGCACCTTTATCTGAGCCAAGCAGATATGCAGTACTAATAGCTACCATTGTTTTATTGCTATTCGTGATAAAATCAGATTTAAACACTGACTATACAAGCAGTAGAACATATTACACTGGTTTTTGCATCCAGAGTAGGACATGGGCATATCTATTAGATTAAAGCAGATTCAACCAAGAATCAATCAACTGTAAACATTGCAAATATGTAGATCTTTTTTATACTTTGATTCCTAAAATTAAAAAGGCAAAGTTTAGTAGTAGCATAAAATATCCAGTTTCACATTCCTCGACATACAGAAAACCTTTTTGTTTAAAAATGAAAAAACAAAACAAAACCCATAGCAGCATGTTTTCTACACAAAAAGTCAAGAGTGTTTCCAGGTTAACTTCTCGCCAAACAACAAACACTCAAAATAAAGTGCAGCACCCAGAAAAATGTCTCAAGAAAGTCACCACATTCTTCTCTTTTTAATAAAAGCTATTGGCTGAAGTCTTGGAAACACTATACTGTATCCATCATTTTGGGTTCTTCGTCCTCTCTGTGTACCATGGAGTTAGAATTGCAGCCGTGAAGCGAGTCTACGTTCTGCAACAAAGAACAACATGAGAAATGAAAAATCAACTGTGAGGAAAGATCTGATCTGAAATTCATGATGTGCATTATAGCATGCTTTCCAGCCTCTGGACCATCTGTAGGCTTGTAGATAAAATATTTTGTAACATTCAACCTCAAGAATATTTGTCACTAGGCTTTAAGAAGTTCTGATGTCCAATGTATTCTTTTCATCTACTGGAATGCTCCTAAGCACAGTTAAGAGCTAAATCAAGAACTATGTATTGTCGAAATCAAGAACTTCTTTTAAATTAATAAAGCTATCTTTTTGCTAAAGAAACTATAGTAGTATTTACATAATTTAATTAATAAAAACTGACATGGTAAACCAAAAAGGTGAGTCTAGGGGAGGTAAAGAATCACAGTATAACACAAACATGGGCAAACTTTGGCCCTCTAGGTGTTTTAGACTTCAACTCCCACAATTCCTAACAGTCTCAAGCCTCTTCCTTTGCCCCCTCAACCGCTTAAGCAGCTGAGGGGGCAAAGGAAGGGGCCTGAGGCTGTTGGGAATTGTGGGAGTTGGAGTCCAAAACACTTGGAGGGCCAAAGTTTGCTCATGCCTGGTACAACATATAAAGGCATGATCAAGACACGTGACTTAGAAATTCCTCAACATTTTGATACACAAACCATTTAGTTCAATATTTGCATAAGCTATGTTTGCTTCTGAAATGCTTATATTGCCAGAGCAGACTATTACTAATTAGGAGACATTGGTGCAGTCAGTGAGCAAAAGCATTATGGCTTAAGCCTTAAATCTATAATCACATGGACTGACACAACGAATGCCAAAAAGTGCACTGTAGCAGGTAAAATGTTGTTTTTAGGTCAGGATTCTGTGAATTCAACTGTGGTTAGTCACAAAGCTTTAAGCTGGATGATTCCGTGAGAGATACAATCTCTAGCTAAACCTACTTCACATGGTAGTTATGAAAATGAAAAGGGAACAATATCTATGCCATCCTAAACACTGGACTAAAATTCAAACAAAATAAACAGGAAGCAAACGTTTCAGTCAAAAACTTGGAAATATATTGATTTTGTATGTTATTTGGTAGGGGTTCATTATTTGGAAATGACAACCAAATGAAATGAAAAAGAAATGCATTTCCTCCTGCGCTCCAAGGAAGCAGGCATCACCTCCTATGAAGAGGACAGATTTGAATGGGCAAATACCAATAGCCCAGCAATGACTGGTGATACTCAATGGTTTATTCCATGATTAAAATGCAGTCATCGGAACAGAGAAACTCTTTATTTGTTGTGTTGTCAAAGGATTTAATGGCCTGAATCACTGGGTTGCTGTGAGTTTTCTGGACGGTATGGCCATGTTCCATAAGCATTCTCTCCTGACATTTTGCCCACATCTATGGCAGGCATTCTCAGAGGTTGAGAGGTCTGTTAGAAACTAGGGAAGTGAGGTTTATACATCTGTGAATGTCCAGGGTGGGAGAAAGAACTCGTCTGCTTGGGGCAAGTGTGAATGTTGCGGACTGCCACCTTGGTTAGCATTTAATGGCCTTTGCAGCTTCAAAGCCTGGCTGGTTGTGCCTGGGGGAATCCTTTGTTGGGAAATGTTAGCTGGCCTTGTTGATTGATGTCTGGAATTCTCCTTTTTGGGTGTTGCTCTTTATTTATTGTCCTGATTTTAGAGGTTTTTTTAAATACTGGTAGCCAGATTTTGTTCATCTTCATAGTTTCTTCCTTTCTGTTGAACTTGTCCACATACCTGTGGATTTCAGTGACTTCTCTGTGTCTGACATGGTGGTTTTTAGAGTGGTCTAGCATTTCTGTGTTCTCAAATACTATGCTGTGTCCAGGTTGGTTTATCAGATGTTCTGCTATGGCTGACTTCTCAGATAGAATTAGTCTGAGGTGTCTTTAATGTTACCTGATTTGTGTTTGGGCACGGAGTTTGGTGGTCCCCATGTAGACTTGTCCACAGCTGCATGGTATATGGTTTATTTTTATTTTTTATAACTATCAGTACTACTCTCAGAATTTTGTCTTGAGGAATTAGGGAACTGTAGTCCAAAATGTAACTTTTCCTAGCTGTTGTAAAAATACAACTAAAAAGTTAAAAAAAATTCCCTTTAAAAAGGAAACGCTTATTGGAACAAAATTATCTGGTTGGTTAAATAGTGGGTGGAAGTCCACCTAGAGAAAAACTACAGCAACTGGAAAGCTGAAAGAGATACTAATCACATATTTGCTTGAAACACAACCTGCTTCACAGTCTCATGATAATGCAGTAAATAAATTGAATCTATAATCCTGTGATCATAAGCTCTATTTTGCTTGTTTGTACTACTTCAAATCTAAATCCCATTGCTTGTAAAAATTTAATTGCTTTGAAAACAGATTTCATGTTAGCTAGCTCTTACGTAACTAATACTGGCATTCATGGCAATCTTATGAAATTTTATAACAGTATAGGGTGAAGTAGCATATGTGAAAACTTATTTCCTTAGGAATACATAAACCACTGATTTGTTAATCACATGCCTAATACTATTAACAATCATGTGAAATGAAAACAGTATAGGTATATAGCCTTTTGTTTTATAGAGTTAGATGTCTATAATATGCAAATAAAAGGGGGGAGTATATTGGCAAGCTACTCATTTCTAATACTAGTAAGAAAAGAAATACTTTTTAGGGAAATGGTTAGGTGCAAAGATGGAAGGAATGGCATTGAATCAGACAGTCATTCAGAACAAATATGGTTGTTAATTTTCTATGTATCTTTCCAATTTTAGTATATGTGCTGCTGAAGCGAGCACTAGAACAAATATGGTTAACCAGAACCTACCTGTGAAAGAGATGCATGCCCTCCTATACAATTCAGATCAGGATGAAATGGGGGGTTCTGCTGAGGTGCAGTTTGAAAGTTTTGTGATCGCGAACAAATCCTTACTCTTGATTTGAATGCTTCAAGTTCATTTTTAAAAGCCTCCAAATAGCCTTCTTCCCCTGTCTGACAAACCAACCAGCAACCAATTAAAGCAGCTCAGTCAGGAATATCATATTCAGTATCAAAAAAAGCTTAATTATATGACTTGCACAAATACGTTGATGAATACCATTTTATATTGCACATGCCTCCCCCTACAGTGCCTTGTTTATTTGTCATATTTGTGTTGCTTAGCAAGTCACAGATGTTGACAAGCAGCTATGCATGACAATAGAATCTGAAATCCCACCAATGGAAATCTTATTCAGCCTTCCCTATGACTTTTGAGATTTATTTAGGAGTGATCTATGATCTCCTCACAGCCACAGGAACTTAAACTGTTTTTTTTTAATGAAGTCTCAAAAATTCAAGCAACAGACTACATGATTTCTGCAGTGTCTCACTTTAAGGCCTGAAAAGTTCCTTCAACAGTAAGATTGACTACTTGGAAGTCCATCAGATTCTTTTCACAGTCACCCATAAGCAAAGTCACCATCAAGTGGCTATTTTCAGACATCATTTTTAAACTTGTGCCCAACTTCACAGCGATCCAAACAGAAGGGGTATATTTAGAACAGTACGACATACAATAATATTTTATGATAGGAAAATAGCTAAAGCAAGCTGCTCAAGCAGAAAGAAGTTTAATTCCAGCAAGTTTGCTTTCCCAGATTACACAGTTGCTCCACCATTGATTACAGTCTGTTTTCTACAGCTTTTAGTTTCAAAACATTTGTATTGTCATGCTACTGTTTGTAAATTAAAGACTTGAAATTAAAGAACATTATGAAATTGGAGGCAGGGTTTTTACAAGGCTGGGTTTATCCCCTTTCAAATGATCTCTACCAGTGTTATTTCTGCTTCTATTCATGTTTTCATAAAATAYCTGTGGGTAAATTTCACAATTACCTAGGTAATGCAAGACTTTAAAAAAAAACACTTCACAACACGCTGAACTTGTATTATGTATACCTATTCCTTAATTTTTCTTCTTGGTTTCTGTAAAAAAAAATCTAATTCCAAAATATCCACCTTTGTTTCACACAGTGTGCAATTTAGGCTGTGATCCTATATATATATATATATATATATATATATATATATATATATATATATATACACACATACACACACACAACCAATAAATGGAAATGTGCAATTTAGGCTGTGATCCTATATATATATATATATATATATATATATATATATATATATACACACACACACACACACACAACCAATAAATGGAAATGTTTTCCTGAACAAGACTCCATTTGCTACCAATTATGTCTGCATAGTCATAGTTTTTGATATAACAGCCGCTTTTGATGTTCTCCTTAATGCTGAAGGTTTTTGCAACAGAGCTGTCTGACGAATATCAATTATCTTATTTGTGGACCTGTATAAGAGCATACTAAAAGCAAAGATCTGGCAGCTTTACAGTCAATATATTTTTGCTTTGAAAACGGTTATTATTTTAAATGAGACAGAGTAGTGTAGCAAAAAATTACTGGGCAGCAGCATCTATGTTTCTGTAGTTCTACAACTATAAGAAAATAATATACAGTGGATACAACCCCACTCGCATAGAGATGGCCCTGAAACTTACATTAGCTCTTTGGAAAAAAAGACGAAAGCATCCTCGTGGATCCACATTACAGCTTTTGGCCATTTCTATAATAAACTGCATCACCACTGCTTGGTGAGCTACTTGTTCCATCAGAGCTCCTTTCTGAAAAGAAGATCATTCCAAACTAACATCACTTCAACCTTCATAATGGGGTAAGTTAACAAGGGTACATACAGTTAAGATCATGTTGAGAGTGCACTGGAGGAACTTTTATTTTACGCATGGCATATAAAACTTTTAAGGGTCAGAAGCCTTCAACAGTAACTGGACATATGACTATTTCTAAGGAATGCAGTGAGAAATACAAGATTCCTATGCACTTTAATCTGTTTAGGTTAATACAGTATTCAACCAATTTCAAAGATAACGCAGAGGTTAATTTTCTGGAGCAGCTAGGGCACAATGCATACTTTGCCAAATTATTGGAATATATTCTTCAAACTCTGGTGATTATGTTGTTTCGTTATTCCAAAATGGTTTCGTTTACTAGATAATAACATATCACATGGGGATAGACCACTAGCAAATTTAGAACATTATGTTTTAGCAATGTCTGGATACAATGTTAGTATGTCACTAAGAAGATTGGTATCTAGAACCAGATGGAAAAATGAAACTAGAACCATCAAGTTATCTTTATGGACAATCTGAATTTGATATAAATAGATCCAAAGAGAAGAAAATGTTTTCTTCTATCTTAAAGCAGGAAAACATCTAAATCATACTGTACAGAAGTGTTTATAATAATATGCTTATAACTGTATTTATGTTTGCATTGGTTGCCCTTAGGCTGGAGCGGCCTAGCTGTTAGGAATGTGTTACCATGGAAACGAGGCAGAAGAGGAGGTGGGAGGAGCTTAGAGAGTTAAGGTTTTTGAAAAGTGACAGTTAGAGTCAGTCAGGGTTTTAGGCTCAGGGAAGAGCAGGTCAGGATTGAGACTCTGAGAAGTGAAGAGTCAGGTTTCAGTGTTCGTGAATAGTAGAGATTTCTTCAGTTAGGAAGCTGAAGGGGAAAACCTTGTTAGTTGCTTTAGTTAGAAAGAACTAACAGAGGCTTGTTAAGATCGCTAGTCGGGAGAAGACTAGAGATCTGTCGTTTGATCAAGGATAGATCAAACAGGGAGACTATTCACTGCAGGGAACACTGGTTAATAAAGTGCTTCACCACAGCAAGAGTTCATAAGTTGTAACATCGAAAGTCTGAATTGTATCGCAACCAAGTTACATGTAACCTTCAATTATTTGCCAAGCTTAACATCATCATACTGCAACCATACGCTTTGTTTAAAAATAAACTTGTTCTCTTTGGTTTTTGAAACTGCCTCATCTCCATTAATTCTACGTTCGTGTACCCAATCTCCCAAAATTACCTCACAACACAAACAGGGTGGCATCCAGTGGTATTAATACCAGAGCCTTTTACAAATCGGTGGCTCCTCTCTCCTAAACCTAAGGGTCTTCCTCACTAATTGGTGGCGATCTTTTACGACCTGGTAGCCGTCTCTTTACACATACCTGTTCCGCTTCTAGATGAAAACACCATAAGAAGAGATATTTAGCTGTTTCTTCACAGACAAGGTAGGGGTGGTCAGAAAGAAATCTCTGGCTATCAAGCCACCTGTTCAGCATGCCTGAAAAACATTGAGATAAAAACAAATATACCGTATATTCCGGCATATAAGACGACTGGGCGTATAAGACGACCCCCAAGTTTTCCAGTTAAAATATAGAGTTAAGATGACTCCCATGCATAAGACTACACCCACATATAAGACGACCCCTGACTTTTGAGAAGATTTTCTTGGGTTAAAAAGTAGTCTTATACGCCAGAATATACTGTAGTTATTTTTCAAATAAAATAATGTTTTGAAACCTTAATCGTCTATAAAAAAACAATTTTGTTACCAGTCCTCTTTCACAGGCTATACATTTAACGGACACCCATATTTAGTTCATTTTTTCATCATGACTAACACCATTTATATATTAAAAATGTATACAGAGGCAGTATTTTTTAAAAAAAGGGTGTTTACAAAGGTGATATAACATATAGATTATGAAACATAAAGGTTAAAAAACAGACTTACCAAAGTGTCTAATTTTCTGCTCATGTTTTTGCATGAATGATTTAGATACATCATCTTCTGTTTCTTTTCTTTTCCTCTGATTAATGAAACTCTAGAAAACAGAATTTTAGTACAGATCTAATCATTGCATGTTATTTAAAGCAAGAAGACATGACACTTATTCAAGTATCAATATAAAACTGCAGCTTAAGGTAGTTATGTGTAAGTTTGCTTCTGACATTTATTACTACTTATATACAGGCAGTCCCCAAGTTACAAGCATCTAATTTATGAAGACTAATAGTTAAAAATGAGGGTGAGACAACAGAAAGTTAGAGAACTCTACTCCTAGGAAGAGAATTTCACTCCTGGAAGAGTTATCGGAGGAGAGGTGTCTCCACTGAAGTTTTATGTGTACTGCTTAGTTCTTACAAACTACCCATAGTTATGAACGGGGGGAGGGGGGATGAGACCACAGTAAGTGAGAAAAATCTATCTCTTGGAAGAGAATTTCACTCCTGAAAGAGTTATCGGAGGAAAGGTATCTCCACTGAAGCTTTATCGTCAATTCTTGTTTCCAAAACAAACCAAATTTTTCAATATTCAAATATCACAGAGACAGAAAGCGAGGTGAAACCTTCTCAACAGGGACACAGACAGCAAAGCCCTTCTCCCCTTATGGGGAGAAGGGCGAGGTAGAAAGGTACGAAATAAATAAATAAATAAATAAAGGTGTTACCCTTTGCCTGTGCTATCCAAAGCGTATGCTCTCTCTGTATGTGTGTGTGTGTGTGTGTGTGTGTGTGTGTGGCTGGAGATGCAATTAAAAATGTACCTGTTCCAACTTACAAAAGGATTATTTATTTATAATTCAACTTAAGAACAAATCTACAGAGCCTGTCTTGTTTGTAACTTGGGGACTGCTTGTATTGCTTTATCAAAGTCACTTGGAACTGAATTAAATAATTCAACAAGCTGTGTAATACAAATCTGTCTTGATTTTATAAAAAAGTGAGAATACTTAACACGTAGGCATGATCTCTGTATGTGTTCACGGTTGGTTCTTTTCTTTCACAAGGGCACACAGACATGACGGAAAAACATGAATATCTCTAGGCCCTCCCAACTTTATTTAACACACTGCTTATAAACTGTTGGAATATGATCTGAAATCTATTCTCTGCAACAGATGCTCTTGATTTATGTAACCACTTAGGCTCCATCTCCACTGACTATTTAGTTCACTTCATAGGTAGCTTCAAACTGTAGCAGACAAATAACAAACTCCCAAGAAAATGTGTGAAAGAAAGCTCTTAGGATCCTTCCACATTGTCCCTATATTCCAGGATCTAATCCCAGATTATCTGCTTTAAACTAATATGAGTCTCCACTGCCAGATAACCTAGGGTAAGCAAATAATCTGGGATCAGATCCTGGGGTATAGGGAAGAGTGTTAGGGGCCTTAATGTGCATCAGTGCTCTGTAGTTTGTGTACGGACATTAGTCTAATGTACGGACATTAGACTAGCACCATCTCTAATGGTATTCCGCAAAAAGGTGAAGACCTGGCTGTTTGAGCAGGCGTTCGAATAATTAGTGCAATGATTGGTTAATGAACACTGGAATGGAACAATGGATGACGAATCTGGAACATGTTTTTGATGACGAGATGACAGTGAATGGGTATTGTAGTAACTGTTTATTAATTGTGTAATGTGTTAGGTTGTTAACTGTTTCTATACTGTAGCACTGAATTTTTGCTGTTCGTATTTGTTGTGAACCGCTGTGAGTCGCCTTCGGGCTGAGAACAGCGGTGTATAAGTAAGGTAAATAAATAAATAATCACCATCCGAGACTCAAACTGGTTCCAGAATTTCCTATATAATCATCTCGGCGTGGCAAAACAATACTTCAATATTGGTTTGAAACTGCATTAAATCATCAATGTAGATAAGGCCTCGTTTGGGAGAAAGAACTAGTCAATGCAATTGGGCTTTTTCGGAATTGGTCATACTCAGGATAATGAACTGAATTGGTAGTGATTCAAGCCACAGCTAAACATTATGGGTTTGCTGGGTTGTGGATCATATTGCTTGTATCTGCTCCTAACTTTATCATTTAAAATCTAAATATTTACACTCACACACAAAATGAATACCATATCTAGGAAAAAACAATTATTTAGCAGGCCAGTTCCGTTAAGTGTTAAATGTATCCTTTATTCATGAAAGTCAATCGTCTCAGAAGGACAGGTGCTACATAAAGGCTTTACAAATATACTGCAGCATCTATGCTCTTTTAAGAACTCTACTTTTCCTACCTTATTAAATACTTCCTTGCTATCAAAGTCAGTGTTCCACATATCCTGTCTTTCCTCTTTCCTTAACACTTCTTCCTTTCGCCGCCACTCTTCTTCCCTCCATTTTAACTCGGCAACTTCAGTTTGTTCTTTGGCACGTTCCTGGTCCAGGGATTCAGAATTGTGTAGCGCTAAACAGCCCAGTTTCTGTTGGGCCTCTGCTAAATTCCACTTGCATTCCACTGAGTTCTTTACAAATTCCTTTTGCTGCTGACATGCCAGTTCGATCCCATGATTGTAGACCTACATTTAAGAAAATCGCAGACTTTTTCATTCTCTGAGAACACAAGCACAGTTCATATCACATCAACAGAAATATAAACATATTACAAATATAATAAGATTCCTGTATAAACATGTCCATAAATATTTCAATGATCTGAATTTTTATGAGAACACCTTCTTCTAGCTGATTCACTGCATAGACTGCAAAGGCGGCTAAAAGGCATACGTAAGCGAAACACTCGAGGAGTGGCAGATTTTTGGCTAATCAATACAGACAGCCAATTATCTCACATCAGAAGCGACTTGCAGTTTCTCAAGTCGCTCCTGACACGACAAAAAAAAAATACATAATGGGATCGGATCCAGATCTGAGGATGGAAAGCTCTGCTCACAAAATGTACTCCAGCCCACATTACAACACACCCCATTCAGCAAAGACACATAATCCTGTGTAGTATTTGAGGTGAAATGGAGGGATTGCCATGAAGATGAAGGAAGCCAAGGTATCTGCTTCAGCCAACCCAGTTATATCTCACACCTCCAACTGTCCCAGTTTGTGTCAGCCCGTTAATCCTCTCCTGCTCCACTTTCTCAGCTGCTTTTAAAAGTCAGAGAAGACATCTACACTGTAGAATGAATGCAGTCTGAGAACCCTTCAACACAGCTTTATATCCCAGAATATAAAGGCAGAAAATCCCACAATATCTGCTTTGAACTGGGTTACCTGAGTCCACACTCATCAGATAATGTGGGGTTTTCTGCCTTGATATTCTGTTCTGGGAATTAGGACTGTGTGGAAGGGCCCTGAGATGACTTGAACAGCCACAGCTCAAAGCTATGGAATATTTATTTACATCCTGCTCTTCTTACCCCAAAGGGGACTCAGAGCAGTATTTACACATAAGCACCAATTCGATGCCATAAAACAACATACAATTAAAACAAACATATATATTAAAACTACATAAATTAAAACATCCAAACACTGCACCAATTATTAACACCATGCTGTCCAAGATCGTAATCCAGAGCCATTCCAGTTGTCATTGCACATATTCCATATCCTTTACTGCACAAGTATCCAATTATCCCATAGCCTTGTTTTTACTTTCTTTCTGAAGGCTAGGAGGGAAGGAGCTGATTGAATATCACTGAGAAAGCCCTGTCTTGTCCCCACCAACTGCACCTGTGAAGGAGGTGGAACGGAGAGCAGGGCCTCCCCAGAAGATCTTAATCTCTGAGATAGTTCATAGAGATACATTAGAATATTGGAATTTGTAGTTTGGTGAGGCTCCAGCAACATTTGGCAGCAAAGTCTAAAGGCTTTGAAAACCTATAACTAGTCTTGGCAGTTCAAGTGGTGTCAAACTGCACTAATATACAGCGTCCAGCAGGCCTACACAACCTGAGCTCTCCAGGTGTTTTGGACTTCAGCTCCCAGAATTCCTGACCATTGGACAAGCTGGTAAGGGCTTCTGGAAGTTGGAGGCCCAAAGACCTGGAGGACTATGTAGAGGCAGCCCTTCCTTGTCTTACTTTAATTGCTCAAAACTGAGGTCCAAGTGCAAAAATAGTTTGCGCAGAACGAACGCATTAGAAAACATGGGGCATTTATTGCTATTTCTTCCCCCAGGATTTCCCAAAATTAGAACATATGTGTTCTCCCTCATTAATGCCTTCTCCTCTCTTACTATCTGGTCACACCTGTGAAATGCTGTTCAAACCAGTGGGTCTCAACCTGTGGGCCACCAGATGTTTTGACCTTCAACTCCCATAAATCCTAAAAGATGGTAAACTGGTTGGGATTCCTGGGAGCTGTAGGACAAAACACCCACAGGTTGAGAACCACTGGTTTAAACCCTTGTGAAACAAAAATGTTTAAGTCACTTATTTCTGTGCAACCCTTACTAAATTCGCAATAGAGGGCAACTTAGGGTGCATCTACATTACTGAACGAATGCAGATTGGCAGTTTTAACTGCAGTGGCTCAGTGCTATGTTGCAGTTTACAAGGCCTATGGATTTCTCTTCCCAATGCACGATTCTAAGATTTCATAGCTTGGAGCCCTGGCAATGAAAGCGGTGTAAAACAGCATTCATTCTCCAGCGTGGCAGCACCCTGGGGGAATCGTCCCACACAGTCAGGCCCTCTGAGGGCGAGTGACTCTCCCACAACAGATCCCTGCATTTTGGAATGCGTGGCTATCCGAGAGGCGACGGTAATACGAGGCTCGGCGGCGTTCCTGCACCAGAAGCGAGCCTTACCTGGGCGTTCGGCCTGGGCAGGTCTTCCTCCGGCCTGGGGCAGAACTCCCGGGGCGCCCGAGGGGGCCACAGCGCCATCCCCCCTCAGGACGAAACAGAGCTCCGCTCCCCTTCCCCAGGCGCCCTCTCAGACCGTTATGGACTCACACATCAGCCCCCTACACCGGAAACGAGGTCACGAGTCACTTCCGGCAACAACCGTACGTTCCCCGTCTTATGAGTTCATCACGCCACTGACGTCTTCCTGGACCGGTCACGTGGTCCAGTATCGGCCTCGGCGTTGCTAGGAAACGGGTTAGTAGGCTAGGGAGCTGCCTGCTTGAGTGGCCCTTCTGCAAAATTACCCCTCATGGTGGCTTCCCAGCTCTGTCTAATGCATGCTGTTTGGCACCCCTTTCACTCAGTGCTATTTTTATTTATCGTATCAGAAGCGAACCGAGGGTACGGTTGTATTAAAAAAAAACACACAAAATGTAAAACTTGGCATTATACCAAATGTCCTTTGACCAGGAGCTGGCCACTTGGGAGTGACTCTGGTGTTGCTAATTAGAAGGTGCATTTGGCAGGGCTCAGGCTGCATTGTAATAAGTAGTCTGTGGTTTGCTCTTCTCCACACTTTGTGGCTCCATTTCTTAAGACTGGCTCTGCATCTCGTGGTGCCAGAGTGCAGTCTGTTCAGCGCCTTCCAAGTCGCCCAGTTAGTCTGTGTGCCTAGAAGGGAGTCTCTCATTTGGTATCAGCCATGGATTGAGGTTCTGGGTTTTAGCCTGCCACTTTTGGACTCTCCCTTGCTGAGGTGTTCCTGCAAGAATCTCTGTAGATCTTAGAAAACTATTTCTTGATTTAAGGCATGGGCATGCTGGCTGATATCCGAACAGGGGATGGGCCTGAGATGTCACTGCCTTGGTCCTTTCATTATTCACTGCTACTTCCCAGCGGATGTCACGTGGTGCAATACTAGCTAAACAGTATGATTTCTCCAGTGGTGTAGGGCATACACACCCTGTGATTATACAGCATGTCTCATTAAGAGCCACATCCACTGTTTTAGCGTGGTGAGATGTGTTCCACACTGGGCACATTGGGACAGCAGCAGAATAGCAAAGTGCAAGAGCAGATGTTTTCACTGTATCTTGTGATCCCCTGGTTGTGCTAGTCAGCTTTCGTATGTTATTGTTTCTAGCACCCATTTTTTGCTTGATATTCAACAGTGCTTCATGTAGGTCAGAGCCCGGTCCAGGATAACTCCCAGGTATTTGGGTGTGCTGCAGTGCTCCAGTGGGTTTCATTCTCAGGTAATCCCCAGAGCCCTAGATGCTTGTCTGTTCTGAAGATGAAAAATAGTGCTATAAAGTCCTAAGGATTATAGTTTGCACGCCTGAACTGTGTTCCTTGCCAGTACAAACTGGGCCATCATTGCGTTGTAAATTGTGTGGAAGCCAATACCGAAGAAGCACTACTCTCTCTCCCCGCCCCCCTTTTGAGTGACATGTAGTTCAAAAGTGCTAATATCAGCTTTCCCTGTGTCAACCCAATGTCTTCCATATCAGGCTATCCTATTCCCATCTAGGACCGGAGACTGCAGTGATCTATTTAATCGCTCGTCAGTTGTTGGTAGACAACATGGCCCTCTGTGGTGTCACTGGGAAAGAAAGGTGACATGTATATGAGGGGAAGGAAGGGAAGGGCCACAAATGTTGCCATGGAGACATTGTGAGGTAGGTCCAGACAGAGCTGAAGAAGGGAGAAAGAGGAGAAAGGAAATAAAGAGAAAAGGAAGGGAAAGAAAGGAAAAGGAGGGAAGGAAGAGAAAGGAAAGGAGAAGGAAGGGAAGGGTGAAAGGTATGAGGGAAAGAAAAGAAAAAAGGAATGAAAGCTGGTTCTCTGACACACCAGGTATATACGCTATTTTGTGCATAAAAGGGGAAATCCCGGAGAAATCTCAACATTTTTTAAATATTTTTTAGTAGGAAAGGGGTCCCACAGGCTGAGGGCATACTTTATCATGTTCTTCACTTATAATGGTGGTCTTTTCAGTAACAGTCCAAATGAAACTTATACCACATGGAAAGCAATCAAAATTCCTCCATGCGGCAATCTCTTTATTAGCACCAGCTTACCTGGTTGATCTAGGAATGTTTGTTATGACATTGTAAAGCTGTGATGTGCCCACCATCTTGTTTCGTTTGTTCATCAATAAACGAGACTGTTCCCATGACCCATTAGCAGCCATGAGTGTCTCATGACACCTATCCTGGACTAAGATAAGCAGAAAATTCTAATCTAAACTGTATTCAAAGGACAGTGGAAAAGATATATAGTACTGGGTGCAGGAAGTTACACTGATAGGTAAGAGTCTCTTCCCCTAGTTTTTCTCAGAAAATGCTCTGCTGGTGAAGATAAGCCCGCAGAAGAACCAAATGTGGGTAGAGCCCTTGGCCACTTTGATTTGTACCATAAATTGGCATGCTCTTAGCTGGAGAACCATTGGCAAGGAAAGGGTTGTTGTCATGCCTTATCCAAACCACCCCCATCTCAACAAAAAAGACACAATGCTGCAAATTAGGCATGCAATTTCTAGCTCTGCTAGGCTTTGAGGCAGTGGTTCCCAACTTTTGGGTCTCCAAGTTTTTGGGACTTCAGTTCTCACAGTTCCTAACAGCTGGTAAGCTGGCTGGGATTTCTGGGAGTTGAAGTCCAAAACACCTGCAGGCCCAGGTGTTTGGGCACTACTGCTTTGCTGGGCTTAGATTCAACATAGTTTTAGCTGGCATAGCGTTGCCAGAGTAAGCCCTTGGCCACACTGGATTGTACCATAAATTGGCATGCTCTTACCTGAAAAACCATTGTTCCCAATACAAAGTAGTGGAGCTGTCAAGGAGACCTCTGAATTCTCACCTTGTTCACACGTAGGTTTCAAACAAGATTTAAGCTTCTTATTCTTTAGTGCCAAATCTCCATCTGACTTCCTTCTTACAAAGGTGATGGGGGGAGACATTTCTTTGCCTCTCCAAGACAACATTTCTTTACTGACTCCAAAGACTGTGGAATATCTAGAGACAGATGGGCTGTCAGGTGACTGATGTATAGATGATTGTTCAGGCTTAAGAATTTAGAATTGGTGATCTTCAGAATGTGGAGACCAGCATCTCTGTTTCCACAGAGTTACTTAGGCCTGGTTCTGTCTCCTGCATGGCACCACTGTTTCCCCGTACTCTGACATGTCCAGGCCAAAGTATCAGTATCCTAAGAATTGCCAGTTTGCATTATCTTGGATGTTCTCGGGATGACCAGGAGGAGCAATCCACTACAACTGGGTTTCATCCTTGTGTTCCATCTGGAATGGCAAAATCCAAGGTTCTTTTTCAGTTGAACCATTAAGATCTCACCCTTTTCTCCAACAGTTTTTTCTATCCTACCTAACCAACCGGTCATGTTTGTTCTTCTCTGTAAGTATGTTAGTAAGGCTAGTATGTTAGTATGTTATTCCCCATAGTAACCTATGGATGTGAGAGCTGGAGCATAAGGAAGGCTGAGCTAAGGAAGCTTTTGAACTGTGGTGTTGCAGGAAAATTTTCAGAGTGCCGTGGACCACAAGAAAATCAAACCAGTCCATACTCCAGGAAATAAAGCTCGATTGTTCACTGGAGGGATGGATATTAAAGATAAAGATGAAGTATTCTGGCCACATAATGAGAAGACAGGAAAGCTTGGAGAAGATAATGGTACTGAGGAAAATGGAAGGAAAAGGGAAGAGGGACCGACCAAGGACAAGATGGATGGATGGTATCCTTGAAGTGACTGGCTTGACCTTGAAGGAGCTGGGGTAGCCATGGCCGACTGAGTTCTGACGTGAACTGGTCCACGAGGTCATGAAGAGTTAGAAATAACTGAATGAATAAACAACGTTAATAAGGATAAATAAGAAGGAAGAAATTAGGAAAGAACAATGATATGTCTCCTGATAAACTGCAAGTCAATTTTGAAAATTAGCTCAGAGACAATGCCTCCAGAACAGAGGAGAACATTGCAGTTGAAATGGTAGCTCTTCTGAAAAGCTGCACCTATCATTTTGAAAACAGCAGCCATTTAGAAAGCTGGAGCTCTGAGGCTATAAAATGTTTGATAGAAATGCCACAGCATGTAAATACAGTTTTGATTGACATGTGATAACATCCTGGGGATTTTTTTTTTTTGTATCAGGAGCGACTTGAGAAACTGCAAGTTGCTTCTGGTATGAGAGAATTGGCTATCTTGCCCTCCCACCATATTGCCCTCTCACCATCCTCGTGGGAGGCTTCTCTCATGTCCCCTACATGGGGAACTGGAGCTAGCAGAGGGAGCACATCTGTACTCTCCCTGGATTCAAACCTCCAACCTGTCAGTCTTCAGTCCTGCTGGCACAGGGGTTTAATCCATTGCACCACTGCACGCTCCTACCTGGGGAATGACTGAGAAAGTTATGATGAAATTCCTAAGGGGCATGTAGACATGGCTGAGTCATAATCGACAAGTGGTGGCATCAGTCATTTGTCCCTTACTGATAACAAGTCAGCAGGTGGTTATGAATGTGTGAATCTCATTGTGAATCTGTCTCAGTGTGTGACTCTGAGAATCGTTTGTAAGTACAAATCTAATTGTGGATCTGTGTATCCTTATTGTAAATAGTGCAACGGTGAAGATTCAAGCCTCTGGATATTTTTGGATGAAAAACTTAATCTGTGAGTTTACCAAACAGTGTATGGAGAAGGTCAGGCATTGCAGTTGTAATTTGCTGACAAGCTGACGTTTTTGCTGTGAATTGACCTAGCTAGCTTTTGCTTGCCTTTGTGACACTTGCTTGTCCAGGGTGCAGTTGTTTCAGAGAGGTCATGTTTGGAAAACTGTAAGTCACTTCACGAACCTATCCTGTGACATACAATGGAGAAGAACATCATGGTAGCAATTATAGGTCTCCCAGTAAATTGCAACTGTCATTTTGAAAACAGCAGCCATTTAGAAAACTGGAGCTCTGAGGCGATGCGTCCAAATTGGAGAAGAACTCTCCTGTCCTTTAGAAGGATGGTAAAAACTTGGCTGTGGGACCAGGATTTTGGGACAGGGCAATAAAGCAGCAACAGGCAAGATTACCAGGCCAATTAGATTTGACGTTTGAATGAGCAAAGGTTGCATAAGCGAGACTCTACTGTAGGTTTTGTAGGTTTGTTCTTAAGTTGGATT